GCGGGGCGCGGGGTGGCCCGGGATCGCAGGATGGTGAGGGGCGGCGGGGTGGCCAGGGATCGCAGGATGGTGAGGGGCGGCGGGGTGGCCAGGGATCGCAGGATGGTGAGGCGGGGCGGCGGGGGGTGAGGGATTCCAAGATGGTGAGGGGCGGTGTAGCGGTGAGGGATCGTAGGGTGGTGAGGGGCGGCGGGGCGGAGGACGCGGCGTGGGAGGCACCGCTGAGCAAGGGCCCCGCTCTGACCCAGCTCCTCTTTGCTTTCTGTCCAGATGCTCTCCCGGGCCAAGCCGGCCGTGGCGGGTACCCCGCCGTCGGGAGACAGGCGGAGGAAAAAAGGGAAGGAGGTGCCACAACTGGAAGAACTCTTGGCCCAGAGGGATTTCACTGGCGCGATCGCCTTGCTGGAGGTGAGGGGCTCCACTCGGGAGAGCGGTATCATCGGTGCCAGGCGTGTTTCCTCAGGGCTGCGGGGCAAGAGGAACCCTACCCTTGCCTTGTGTCACTCTCGCACCTTTGGGGCCCTTCAGCGGCATCTGTTGCTCCTCCCTTCTCAGAGCTGTGAGGGCTGCCTGATGCTGCCCTCCAAAATGTCGAAGCAGCTCCACGCCAGTAGCATCCACAGATGTCAAACCATCTGTGATATGTGATAGCCTGGTATTGCTTTGGTATCTGTGGGGCTTTAGAAAYTGTGGCAGCTGACAAAATTCTTGTATTCTTTATTGTCTACAAAGTTTAAACAGCATGTGAGTGAGGAGGAGGAGGATGCCAACCTTTGGATCGGATACTGTGCRTTTCATCTGGGTGACTACAAGAGAGCTTTGGAGGTAAGATGGGGAAATCCTACTCCCTGAGATGGAAAYTGGGATGTTGTGATAAAGTAATGATGACAGGAGGAAGATGGTCTGTAATAGGGAACAGCCTTGCCAACCAGTTAAGATACAAATGTATAATAAGGTAGATGCTGTGGAAAGCAATTTCGATTGGGAAAAAAATTGCCTATGAAAACAGAGCTTTTAAAATGTTATCTACTGACTTATTTATTACTAGGTTCAGTGGCTTAATTTGTTCTCTTGAACATCATAGTTCATGTCCTAAATCCATCATTCCCTTTTTGCAGCTAGGTTTCCACAGTTAAGTTTTTCAGGTTCATTATATTTTTGTCATGCCATTTAATGTATTTTACTGCTCTTCTTTACCTTTTTTTGTGTTAGGTAATTCAATTACATGAGACATTTTTATTCTCCAAAAGCTTTAAGTCACTAAAATATATGTTAACTGTTCAAATATGCATGCATTTTAATATTTGCATCTTAAGAGTTCTGTTGTGTCTCTTCACTGTGAAGTGTAACTGAAGTATAGCTGGTTTTGCAGTCTTTTAATTTGCTTTCCCCAGAATCAATACTAAAAACAGATGTTAATTTAAGGTATTAGCAAAAGATAATAAAAAGAAAATAAATAGATTATAGAACAATGATAAAATGAGATMAATCTCTTGGATAAAATGAGTAGTAGTTAAACACTACAGTAATACCTGGTCACATGCACAAGATGCATACATGAGGTGAAAACTCTAAAGCTTCCAAGTAAGGAAGGCACAAGGCATTCTGCCCTTTAAGAAACTGAAGAGAGAAATATCTGTTGGAGATACCAGAAATGTTCAATGAATCAAATAGAGAGTATGTGCAGTATAGAATGTAGAATAGTAGTGCAGGGCATCATGGTAAATTAATATTCCTATTTAGAATTGTGACATTTAAATATTATGAATATAACAATCAGTTGCTGTAGTTAWTTTATATCTAGGCATTAGGTATTAATAAGTAGTGAAAATTTAAAAAAACAGAAAAATGTATACAAATGAAAAATAGCTTGCAATTTCTTTGAAATAAGGAATAAATTGAAAATAAATTTGAAATAAATTCTGATTTTTTGGATACTCAGTACATGCTTTTATAGCCAGAGTAGATTTTACGTTTCCTTCAACAAAAARGCAACTGCTTTTTTTTTTTTTAGTTTTTCTTAGTTTTTGCATGTGGTGTTTGATTCACCACTAGGTGATGCTGTTGATTCAGGCTTTTATAAACCGCAACATAGTCCTTTTTTTCCCGATTTTCTACCCAAGAAAGGRCAATAAAAGATTTGTATGAACGTTTTGTAGTTTGATTGTTTGTGTGYATGTTTTAAGTGAGAGATCACAAGGCCTGTCTTTTCAGATTTAAAATTGGTTTTTTGCACAGTGATGAATCCTGATAACTTAGTCATTTTGYGGTGACATGGGAAATGAGCCTGTGCATCTCAATGTAGTTTCTCAGGGGACAGAACACTCTAGTTTTAATTTCTAAGGCTGTAGGTATCATTGCACTGTGGAGGCTGAACTGCCTCTTTGTTATCAACTTCCATGTTGAAGTGTAAAATGCTGTTATCTGCTATGTTACAGAGATGTTGTTGCTGTATTCTCAAGGACAAATTCCTTGATAATCTATACTTTTGAGATCTTGGGGCATTCTTTGGGGCATGCRAAGAACAGTGTAAATAAAATATTATGGGTCAAAGATTCTGCAGAATTTTCCAGAATGACATCACACATGGCAATGTAAACGATTCACACTCCTATGTGTTCCTGCAAGTGACAACACATAGTCTGTGTCACTATATTCACAGTTCATGGGGTTTTTTCCATGTACCTGATGAGAGTCTTTAGAAATTACATTTTTAAATCCTTTCATTTTCGATGATACTTTCATAGTGAGCCAGGAATGTTGGTTGCATAGCAACTTTTGGAGAAGTTTGGGAATTGCAGTGAGGTGGCCATCATGCACCCCTGGGAGAAATGGGGAAAAAGTGAAAAATTCACAGATGTCCAGCTCCAGGAAYGTCTTCAGAGAGAATGACAGCAAAATCTGTCACATTCATGTGAGGGAATTCACATTCTCTTATCACAGGCACACCAATAACATTTAGATATCCTCTAGGTAAAGCACTAACCTCACCTTCACCTGGGTCACACTTTCTCCTTCTTAACRGCAAATGCCTTTTTCAAAGGCATCAATGTCCCATTGACATTGGTCTGGTGGGATCATCCCTGCTGCTGTACCCTAGTTTACAAATGGTACTGCACTGGGCTTGACTCTTCCAACAGTCATGGTGCAGTTCTTCCCTGGGGACTGACTAGCTTTCTTCACGGACAAACTTATTTTTACTGAGTAGTTCATGTCTTCCTAATATCTTATGGCCWTCGGAGCTTCCCTGGTGGATGACAGCATCTAATTAGTTTTCTGGAATCTTCCACATCTACTTTTTCTCATGGGAAAAACCCATCTGTCTTTCTGCAGCAGTTGCCAGTTGTTCATAGCTCTAATCTTAAACATTTTCTGAAAAATTTCACAGTGTCACCCAAGTATCAGAACTAGACCATCAGGCCAATGATTTTGCTTCTGAGCTGCCTGATCTTATATATGGAATCTTTTGAGGCCTTAAGAAAGTAAGAGTTTATTGTTATTATTTTATACATATATAATATTATATACTTATATTAGAGGTATTTAAAAAATTTAAGAGACRAATTGGCAAGGGCAGGTGCACTTCTTGGTTGGGTTCAAGAACAAGTTTCACACTTGCTGTCTGCACTCTCTGCCTTTAGGCACACAGGATGCTGGCATGGTGTAGCTGCTGGACGTGGTAATGCCATTTTGGCCCATCAGCTACGCATGTGAGCGCAAAGAATGAACCCTGGGCCACAGCCTTCAATGCATTGTTTCTGTCAAAATCCTACAAAATCCTACATATAGCCAGCAGTAGTCTCTCCAATCTGCCACCTCCCTCCTAGCAGAGAAGTAGGATCCATTCTGCCACTTCACTGAACAGGACCTCCTGCTGGCTTGGCTCAGTGTAATTTTAGTCAAAGGGTAAATGATGGAAAGAACAGGGCTCTACTAGGGTAATTGTTCATCCATGAACACTATCTGGTCACGCTTGAGTAATTCTGTGGGAAGTGTGAGAATACAGGTAYACTTCTGCTCCTGATAGCTGAAGACAGAAAGTAAAAAGTGGATTTTTTAGCTTTGGGAGTTCACTGGTCTTCTTTGGCATGACTATAGCTGGATTATGATAAGTATCTCCGCACCTCATTTGAGTACGTGTGGAACATATACGTTGGCTTGTTTATTGGCTCTTCAGCATCCATGTTTATGGGTTTGGAGAATCCAGACAAGTAACAAAGGCATTGAGCTGGCCCTCTGCATTGTCAGTACATGTCCATAGTTGTAGGCAATCAACCTGGTGGACTGCTTTGGAGGAAAATTGCATGTGTCTCATGGTAGGCGCATGAGGAGGAGGAGAGTAAAATAGCAAGGAGATGTTAATGCTCCTGGATGGCTAAAGCATTCCACAGGTTGACTGTGGGGACAGCTTTGAGAGTATTTAGTTTGTTTGGGTTTGTTAATTTATTTGGAAAAGAGGGGGCAAAAGTTCTTGTGAAGTAGTCTTTGAGAGACTGATGTTGAATAGCTTTCAGTGAGGAAAGGGGCAGCAGCATATAGTCTGGGCACATGGCCCAGAACTACAGGAAAAGGAGCACTAATACTTCTAATTTTTATTTATTGAGTTTTCATAGATTCACATTGGTACTGCTAGAACACTCTTTATATAGCTTGCTTAAAATGGCCAAGCCAGAACATGACTTGTGTTTATGCACTTTGTCTTTTCTAATTAATCTGCCTGAAGCCCTAGCCGAAAGAGACCTTTGGGTGCATTTAACCTGAATGAAATTTGAAAGATTCCAGATGGTCCCAATAAAGAGCAGTGGCCTATCTGTCAGAACTCCGTGACAGGCCTACATTAAGATTAAACTGGCCTCAGTAGRAATGATTTGCCTCTATGTAAATGTTTTTTTATTAAGAATAGTACTACTAATAATTATTATATTGATGTTTATTTATTATAAATATTGTTGGACCGCTAGTCCCTGAGGTATAAGCAAGACTGAGTTGGCTTTTAAGGGTGCTCCTTACTAGTATCTTCTCTGTTTGGGAGTGCAGTTTACTTTTACTTAGCAAAGCAAAAAATAATTTTTATTCTTGCAAGCTCTAAACTTTTTTGTTGTCAGCGTATTTCTGTTCTTGGGATTTGCTGTCCTTTGGGCATGGCTCATTTTATCTCATGCTGTATATATGTATCTGTCCTTTTCCCCAGAGGTAAGAAATCTCCTACCTGCAGTGGCTCAAGCTGCTAAACACTCCCTAGGTAGACGGGAATTCCAATTCATATATGTTTGCAGAACAAGTACAGTCACCAAGGGGTTGTTTTGCTGGGAGGGATGAGCGACTTACCGTGATCTGGAGTATATGGATGACATTCCTTCAGCAGGTCTTTTGAGAACCTTGTGTGACCCTGCCTGCTTTGCCTTATGCTGCCTGTCTCCATGGCTGGATGGAGAGCAGGAGCACCAGCAGCAGGCACTTCCATTGGGATGGTCCTTCCTAGTARTTTACCAGAAATGTTACACAGGAAAAAAAGATGGCATTGAGAGATCTCCCTGCCTCCATTTTTAGTACCTATTGTTAAACTTAGAAAACAGGTTTATCTTCAGGAATATAATTGTTTAGTAGCTGCAGAGTTTTTTTCATTAAAAAAGTAGATTGAAAAATTGATTAGTTAAGTTTTTGCTGTTTCTCAAATAACAAGAAATGAAGCAGTTTATGTGGCAGAATTAAAGGATATGTAATGTGGAATGTGTATATGTAAGAAATAACAGAATATGGTATCTAGTGCCTTTCTATAGCTGTTGGTTGTAAATCTTAAAATGGGTAATGGTAAAGTTAGGAACAGGTTGTTAATATTTCTTACAAATTGCTAATCTTTATCTATAAGGAAATCTTGAATTTGTCCAATACTGACTTACTGGCTTTTATTGTGATGCTGTAGTCTCCAAACAATTTTGCTCATGTACTCCCATCAGTAAATTTTCCTTCAGTACACACTCCCAATGTGTATATACACATCCATGCATTTATAAATTATATACATGTACCACTGTACTAATTTGTAAATATAAAACATACACAAAAATTGGAACTAAAAAAGGATGTCATAAAATTAAATAAACACTATTTTAAAATACTTATTTTAGTTACTAATGGTATAATAAAAATTTTTTCCTGCACTTGATGTTGTTATATTGCATAACCTCAGATTTAACACACACTTCCACAGGTTTAACATACACTAAGATAGTACCTACAGATTTACAAAAACACATTTAGCACTTGCTGCAGTAAGTATTCACAGAAATTTCCTGGTGTTTATGGCTCCTCAGCTTTGACTGGAGGAGAACTTAGGAAAGTGACAGAAGTTGGTTATATTGATGCCTTTATAACTTACATATACTGGGGTTTATAAATGTAAATAATGTATTTATAGTAATATATTTACAAAACAAATGTTTTATATCTCTRTAACTTCAATATTGACAGAAATCGTGCTCATACATGATGATTTATAGCACTGATTGTCCCTGTGGTCTGTTATATTGCTGTAAACAAAAACRAGTTAGGGATATTATAGCTTTAAACATAGTAGTTTTGTAGTAAGGACTGYAATGAACTTCAGAATAAATTGTTTGATCTCAGTAATTTAATGATTGTAAATCTTAGAAGAAAAAATTATATTGAATACAAATATGTGCTATTACACATTTTTTAAAAATCACTCATCTCTTCTGTTACAGGAATATGAGGCCTTAACCAAGCAACCAACTTGCAATCCAGATGTTTGGGTGAACCTTGCCTGTACGTACTTCTTTCTAGGCATGTACACGCAAGCAGAACAAGCAGCTTTGAAAGGTGAGATGTACGGCTCTGTTGAAAGGACTGCTTATTGATTTGAACAATTAAAGGCATTTCCAGAGAAAGTTTGTAATAAAGGATACTTTTGAGCAAAGTTTTTTTGGGTTTGGGATTTTGTTTGGGGGGTAGTTTCTTTAACTTTCATTGAACAGGAGAATTATGATGCAGTWTCCTTCCTAAAAATACCTTGGGAATGTGGAGCAGCTGGAACTAAAAGCAGCATCTGGAAAATAATCTCTCTTATTAATTTCTAATAAAAAACTCAGCATATGCCAACCAACAACAGAAGGTTACTTTTCTTTTGACCGATTCTGTGTTTCTGAGCCAGTGCAGATGAAATTATAGGCCAGTGAAATTATAAAAAAATGCATCTGAGGAAATTCRATAGTCTCCCTGATGAAGACAAGAGCTTGGTTTATGTAGTCTGAGTGACTTAGAGGTGGTCTCCTTGCCTTATAAGTCAGTTGTTAGGTATCTGATTCTTCAAGGTATGAAGTTCAATAGTCATATTATTACAGTCTAACTGTAATCTGAATATGCCCAGGATCATTTGAAGAGGAGAAATGGAAATCAGATTCCAAGGCAATTTTTACTGCCTGAAAATATTTCTGCAGTTAATTTTGTTGCCCATCACTTTTTGTGTATGTTAGTGATTCATATTGTTTTCCATAATCATAGTACTTCAGAGCTTTTTAAGTAGAATTAATAGTAGTGATATCTCAGTCAACTTCTGACTCTTGCCTTACTCTTATTGAAGGATGAGTTTTCTCCTTTTTTTCATTAGTCATCTTGTCTTGGGCTGAATATAGGATAGGAAGAAAATAATTGTGTACTTTCTTCTGCTGTGCAGGATTGCCTTCCATGATGAGAGCTTTGTAGTATTTATAAAAAATAATTAGATGCTCCTATCCCTTTAAAATCCTTGGAAAGAGTATGCTGAGCATGAATCCCACAACTGGAAATGTTTTTCTTTTCAATTGTCAAAAAATCTCATGCAGAGTTTTGCAATTTGGATTGTTCAAGGGGTGTATAAGTTTCTAATATTCACAAGTAATATAATCTTTAATGCACCACAAATTTGGGCTTTGGAGATTGCAATTTAGGACTTGAAGTGGATCTGAAAATAAATGGGCAATAGAGCTTGAGGTGTCACTGTGACCTAAACTGTGGAGGAAGCAAGCATCTGCATGCTGTACCAGTTGAGTCACTGTCATCAACTTCACATCTTGTGAATTACAGTAATCTATTCTAGAGATGACATATACACAGCTGGGCACGCACATTTATTAACTGTGAGGGGAGGTCAGTGTTTGTCATGTCCCTTCAGATTAGTTAATTGTAGTATGGTGAGTGGCAGAGTAGGGTGTACAGTTGGTAGTATTTGGGTGCTGCATGCAAGGGTAGGAGTATTAAGAAAGCAAGAGTGGGAGGGAGTCTAGTTGAGGGAGGGAACAGAACAAAACTGAGTGGTCACATTCGTTCAGTTTTTGATCAATTCCTGATTTTATGTAATTGTTTGAGAAGGACAGCATGCCAGTTTTTATAATGAGGTGCTAAACATTTCTYATGAATGTAATACTGTAATACTGATGATTTCTGGCTACTTAAGCTTGGTGGGGAGGCAGTCACAGCTGAAGATTTGTAACACTTACCGTTTCTCCACTGAAAGCTTCCAWGTGTTTATTCCCCTTTTAGTCTTTCTTATATTGAGTTTAAACCTTTTTATTTTTATTTGTCTTAAGTCAGATCCTACTTTTTTAACATTTTAGGATTGCATCAGTGATGGCTGTTTGCAATATAGTATTGACAGCTGAGACCATATCATCTTGTGGTCTCTTCCATGGTTTTGCAAAGATCTTGAAGAAGCAACATACTTCCTTTGATTAGATTTGATACAACAGGTGAAGTCTTTAAAAGAACACTGTTTATCCAATACTGCCTTAAATACTGCTGAAAAAATTATAGCAGGGATCAATGTTAGACTGCTTACCATTGCTATTTTGGGATTATTTTGCCTGAATTCTTGCATAGTGCATGCTGTTTATTGCTTTAGTTAAGCTAACCCCCAGAAAGTAGCATAGTACTAACACAAATTAAGGAGAACTAATTTAGTTTCAGCTATAATTCTAAATTTCTATAGTGACAGAATCTCTTGTGTGAAAAGGAACATAAATATCAGCTAGCTTTCTGGTATAGGATTTCTACACAAACATGTAAATCTTTAGAAATGAAATCAAGTTCCTTCTTGCCATGTACTGTTGCTGTTGCTTAAAAAATAATTATTAACTGTCATTCCATTAACGAGGAAAAATATATAGGATACTTAAAAATTAGGAAATTATCATTAAAAGCCATGAGGTAATTAATGCATTCATACAAGATATATAGCCTACAGTCTTTTGTGGAGCAAAGCTTTATCTTTACAGCAGATATGAATTGATCTCTTAGCTTTTTGCTGCTTAATTAAAACTTCATGGTATAGAGAGGATAGGGAGGTGATTAGGGACAGTCAGCATGGCTTCACCAAGGGCAAGTCCTGCCTGACCAACCTAGTGGCTTTCTTTGATGGGGTGACTCCATCTCTCCATGGGGTGGCCCCAGTGGGCAAGGGAAGGGCTACAGATGTCATTTATCTGGGCTTCCGTAAAACTTTTGACGTGGTTGCCCACAAAATTTATTGAATAGATATGGATTTGACTACTAGGTGGATTAAGAAGTGGTTGGACAGTCACATCCAGAGGGTAGTGGTCAATGGCCCAGAGTCGCAGTGGACAACAGTGACCAGTGGTKTCCCTCAGGGGTCTGTATTAGGACCACTGTTATCTATTGTCTTCATTAATGACACAGACAAAGGGATCAAGTGCACCCTCAGCAAGTTTGCAGATGACACCAAGCCAAGTGCTGTGGTTGATACACCTTGATGCCATCCACAGGGATCTGGACAAGTTTGAGAGATATATCTGTGCAAACTTCAAGAAATTCAACAAGGCCAAGTGCAAGGTGCTGCACCTGGGTTGGGGCAATCCCCAGTATCAACACAGGCTGGGGATGCACACGTTGAGAGCAGCCCTGCTCAGAAGGACATGGGAGTGCAGGCAGACAAGAGGCTGGACATGACCCAGCAATGTACACTCACAGCCCAGAAAGCCAAACATGTCCTGGGCTGCATAAAAAGCAGCGGGGGCAAAGGGTGAGGGAGGGGATTCTGCCCCTCTGCTCTGCCCTGCTCTGGAGAGTCACCTGGAGCTGCATCCGGCTCTGGGGTCCCTGCACAGGAAGGACACAGACCTGTTGTAGTGAGTCCAGAGGAGACCACCAAGATGATAAGGGGAATGGAGCACCTCTCTTATGAAGAAAGGCAAAGAGAATTGGATTGTTCAGCCTGGAAAACAGAAGGCTTCAGAGAGACCTCACTGAGGCCTTCCTGTACCCAGATAAGGCTTACGAGAGCTGAACAGGGACTATTAACAAAGGTCACAGGACAAGGAGGAATGGCTTTTAACTGAAAGAGAGTAGGTTTAGATTAGATACAAGGAAGAAATCCTTTACTGTGAGGGTGGTGAGGGGGTTGCCCAGAGAAGTTCCATTTCTGAAAGTCTTCAAAGGCAGACTGAACAACCTTCAGGGCCTTGAGCAATTTATCTAGTAGAAGACGTTCATGTCCATAGCAGGGGTGTTGAAATTAGATATCCTTAAGGTCCCTTCCAACCCAAGCCATTCTGTGATTCTGTGATTTTCTCAGGAAAGAGTAAAATCTGAATATCAAAAGTCAAATAAAAAAGAATTGTTGCAAATATAACCTAAGAAGTAGAGCAAAAAGGCAATAAAGAAAAATTCCTCCTTGAAGGTTTTTCATTACGGTTGTATTTTTCATCCTTTAGGCTTTCTTCCAAATTCCTTTCAGATTTCCCTGGCTTCTCCCTTTCCCCTGCTGTCTGSTTACATTGCGGTTTCTAATGTTCCTGGTTCTGAGGTAAAGGTAGAGTTATTTCTAAGTCATCTACTGTTTTGTAGTCATCCTATAGTGAAGCTGCAAAGTGATGCTTTGTCTACTCCTTCTGCATGTGTGTTCTCATACGTTGACTGAACATATGTTTTCTGTGCTGTGGGTAGCCAATCTTGTCTTGAAAGAATGAGGCTTAAAGTATTGATCTTGGTTTAATAAATAATATTAACAACAATTTACTATTTTTTTATTAAAAACTAATACTCTTATGTTGCATTCGCAGTTTGTATGCCTTGCAAAGACCAAAGAACAGAAACTCAGCCTGGCACACTTGGACTGTGTTCCTGGCAACTGATTCGAGTGTTTAGAAGTCTGCATAGTGCTCTCAGAAGCTGTTGGCTTGCATTAAGAAAAAAACTAAGAACTAAAACATAAGAACTAAAATTGTTGTTTTAAACCACAAAATGTGCACATAAGTGGGGCTGCAGTTAAGTCTGTTATGAAAAACAGTCTTTTTAGGATAAACGGAATCTTAGAATTAAATTTAAGATTCATGCACAGACAGGGCTGTATTGCTGAACCATTCATTAAAGTTGGGGKTTTTTTCATCCCTTCCAATTTTTGATGGGAAAAGCTTTGTAATTACTTTGCTTCTTCACATCTCAGCATRTGTCAGATCTGAATGTGGTTTAACTGAACAGAGAACTCATTTTACAGCCTATACTGGAAGAAGCAATATTGTACAAAAGATGAACAGAGAGGCATTTGTAAAAACAATAACATTTTTCAAAACAGTTTTGCTTATTCATGAAGTAATGTGTGTCAGGTGTGAAATAGTTGTCACCAGTGAAAATGTGCTGTTACAAGCAGGCATGGAAAAGTTTCTGGGTTTTCTTTTTCTTAGGATTGCATGTTCACCTACAGAAAAACTATCTGACTGTTTCTTGTACTTGTATTTCTTGAGAACAGTAGTTATTTTTGGTGCATTTTAGCTGAGGTTTCCARCCAGATATTTCATATATGGAACTGTCAAAGTGCACAATGAAAATGTCACATGTTTAGCTCTGAAAGCTACTACCCTTATTTTTTTTTGTTTTGTTTTGTAAAGTATAGTGGAAGTTACAGCCCAGAAATAATTGATTTTATGATCTTTAATTTATTGTGCTTAGTGTTACTGAAAGGAAATCTTTATRTATGGCAAGTCACTGAACATAGCTGAACTCACATTTAAGTTTTGGAATTTTCCCATTTGGGAATGGGAAAATTTCAGTGAATGTACTCTGAAAATTTCATTCAAGAAAATTCTGAACAGTTAAACTGTTCAAGTGTATGTAAGTGTAAACATCACTGCTTGACCATGGTTTCTTGCAAACATTTTCCCCATCCCCTTTCATTTTCCCCTCCACTGGTGAAACTGTGTTTTTGAGGCACAGAGGGCTTCATTCAGATACTGTATTCAGGAGAGCAGGGCATTGTTTCTCAGGGACAGGAGAATAATGTTTCCATTGGTCATATTTTCTACTGTCAGGATGAAGCCTTCTCAGCCCTGCTCCATTCCTGCCAGTTCCTAATAAGTGTATTTAAGGTGTGTTCTATACCTGTTGATGTGTGAAGGGCTGCTATAGCATATGCATTATGTGTTAGRTGGGATTTGTTAATGCTGGATTCATGACCAGCATTGCCTTGTACTCTCATGAGAGGGTATAAATGCCAGATTGTCCATGACTATTTCATCATCTTTTTACTGCCTGAGATAGCAATATGGAACTCACCAAGAGTCTGAGCTGCCATTTCAGTTGAGTTTGACTTTTTGCGTAATAATTAGTGAAGACAATGGTCTTCATTCTTACTGTAGCTGCTTATTATATTTTAACAAATTCAGCACATAAAAATATACAGAACACTTAAGATCCATGACGGCTATGACTTAATGTCTGGAAAAACAGCACTGCTCATGACAAAAATTCTAGCAAAGAAATATCAGTGCATTTCCTGGGTAGAAAGAGATATATCCTATCCAGCTGCCTCAGTACTTGAGTACAAGGCCAACACCAGACCTGGAGCAAGGTCCAGTTTGTTGCTGTGCAGCATTGTCATCGTGTTTGTTATGATCCCAAGATTGCTTAAGTACTGATTAAAAACAAAAAGAGTAGAGTCATTGTCTTGAAAAAATAGAACAGAAAAAGAAGATTGTGCTTCCTTGTAGCATTAATAGATCAGTGACAAAGAAATTCAGTAGCAGCAGAGACTAGTAGAAGAACAAGCCTAATGTCCCTTAAATGTCCCTGAAGAGCCATTATCTCTTATAAGGCAGTTGCATCACTTCCTGCTCCACTGATTGGCAACATCTTTATCCAATATTTGTAAATCCATTCTTTCTGAAAACTAAATTGACCTTGTTCATATGTTTCCTTGTCTTCCTCAAAGAATGCATTTGGCACCAAAAGACAATAAACTGCTGATGATGAATGTTTCCATATTTCTGCTTGCTATATTGGCAGGACTATATTTGTGAGGGGCTTTAAGCAACTTATTTAAAAGAATGTTAGCTAGTATCTTATAATATATTACAAAGCAGGACATCTTTCCACCCTCCMTATATCCACGCACGCCATCAAAACTCAGATTTCATCTTTTGCCTGTTTTTAGGTGTTAAATAATGTGGGCTAACCCGTCAACTTCTGCCAAGAAGTAAATAATAATTTTGATGTCAGATCAGATGCCAGGTTTGCCAGGGCAGCCTGCACTCATTGGTTGACCAATGTGAAACAAAAATTCCTTAGTTTAGGTTCTTGACAATATTACTTGCAAGTCACAATTTTCACAGTGAAATTAATGCTAAAACACACTCAAAAGGGGAAAAAATTTGAAAACTTACTCAAAAAAGGAACATTGTTGTCTTTACCTGTAGTATTGTTATTATACAATGTGCTATTTGCAGTGTAAATCCCACAGACTGTCCTGCTTGTATTTTTGGAGTCTTTGATGACCRAGTGTTTTGAATTGTGAAGGGTGGTTGTGTTTGAAGTTTTTCACAAAAGCACATGTGGGGTCCATGTGCAACCATTCTAAACTTTGATAATAAAACCTATGAGTTAATGCTGGGGCACATGTAGACTGAAAAGCTTGCATTTAAATTAAAGACACTTTTATTTTCTAACTGAGTGGATGAAATATCCATATTGTCATGTCAATTATACTATTACTTCTGCCTATGCAATATTTATTGTAGATCAGAAAAGCTTTCTGTTCTTTAATAATTAGGCTAATGAGAATTCCCACATATATCCTAGACTGAAGATCATATAGCTTTTTAACAACTTGATGCTCTGTTAGAAGTATCTTACAAGATGTTGTGGTTTTGTGAGAATGCTCTCATACCACCTTTTAGTTTGGAGTTCTGTTCTAGCAGCTCTTTAAAGACACAATTCACTGTCTTTATTTTTCTAGGAACATGGTTAARTAACACAGCTTGGTGAGGAAAAAAAGGAAGAAATAGTTGCTGTACTTAYTAGAAGTAGGTGTGCAGCCTTGCACTGCCAATCTGATCAGAATGGCCTGGGTTTTGGCACTGTCCACTGTGTTATGAARTTTACTTACTGTGTGGAAAAACAATAGGAAATCTGGAAATCTCATTCCAAATTGCTTAAAAAACCCAAATTCCATCTTCAGGGGGTGGTAGGGAAGAGGAATTGGTGGTTTGAGCCCTCTTTCATGGTTTAGGATGTAAGAAGAATTACAGCCTTGTGTTACAGGCTATTGCTTTGCTAACTCTGCACTTTTGTGGTCTTATAAACACAGTAAGTAATTCTGCTTTTTGTAAAAATTCCATATACCCCTTTCTGTGGAACATGGTTTGCCAGCTGGTTGGTCTGAGCAAGAATGAGAGTGTTCATTAGGCTAGGAAAAGTACAGGAAACAAGGGAAGGCTTTTTTGAAGATTGCTTGCAAGAGAAATTACTAGCTCCTTGTTTGACAAGWACATTTGTCACCCTTGGTGAAGGCAAAAGACTTGAGTGACTTAAAACTCTGCAGTTAACAATTTGTGTCAAATGGAGTGAGTTCAATGGAATCTCTAATCCTGCTAGATCAAGAAATTTCATTAACTTTACTAGCTCTAGAAAGGAGATATCTCCCTTAAATTTCTTGCCATCTTTTATAAATTTGAATCGTATGTGCTCTGGCCATACAATTCTCTCATGTTCCTTTCATTCCTAAAGACAGAAGAAATATTAGAAGTCTAATGGAATGTGTATGCCTAACAAAATGGTAGCAGCACTGGGTTTTTCAATACACTAGAAGTTGAAAAAATTCCTGGAACTGTAAATCACAACTTACTGCAAGTGTGACACATTGTAGAAGGGGCCTTGAGTTTATCTGTTGCTGTTTTTTATTTTGAAAAGGTGCTGTGCTTGTCTGTCACAAAAAGAACCTCCAAAAATTATCTAGAAATCACTGCAGGGAAATGATAGTGCAATTCATAGGAATTTTAAGGCTCATGGAAGATAGAGGCCAATGAAAAATTATTTTCATCCGGGATTTCAAAATAAATAGTCAGGAAATGAAGACGGCAATGAGGAAGACCTCTGAACTCTACAATTGGTAGAACTTGCCCAAAGGCATGACCTGCAAAGGGCTCTTAGTGAAGAACTGTACTTGGGCTAGTTAATGAAGGAATACGAGTGCATTCATGTCTGTTGAGAAAGAGAGTTAAAAATATAGATACGCTGAGTAGTTCTTTACTGCAGTACTTWCTGAATTTCCCTTTCAGCACCTAAGAGTGGTCTCCAGAACCGTTTGCTCTTTCACCTGGCACATAAGGTACAGTGTCTTTCTTCATTCCTGCTTTGTTTGTTTGCTTTTCAATTTGGTAATGGGTAATTTATGCTGGCAACCTGGCAGAATAATTAAAATGTCTGTGATGGCAGAAGAAGAAACRTTTTTCATAACCTCCCTACTCTATTAAAATGTGGAGGAGAAAGCAAGTGTGAAAACATGATCTCAGAATAGATGCCCTCAATATGTTTTTAAGGCATTACGCTTCACACAAGTCATACAATAAGAACGTAATGGTATTTTTGAGCATGAGGAGCATGAAACCTTAATAGAATCAGAAATGTAGAAACCACTATTTTATTTTTTTTTTTCTTAATGTACCAAGTTTTCCTAACTTGCAGGTCTCATAGCAATTGGACCAAAATGRTGTATATGCTATTAGTGATCCTCCTAAGTAGTTCAGTATCCAGGATGTAATATTGTTAATAGCATAAAATTTACTTTAATTTAAACAACAATTAAGTGCTTATTTCACTTACCACACATAGCTATCTTCCCTTGAATTAGGTTTTGTACCATCCTATGCAGAATACTTGACAAGTATTCTGTTACTAAAGATACTGACTTAAAATGAAGTATAAATTCTGAATCTTAGCTTTGATGTCAGATTTTCTTTACTTCAATATCTGTTAATTTTAAGAGAGGAATCTGAAACCATTTCTACAGTGGCACTGGCACTTACAGATGTCTGTGATGAACTAGAAATTACATTACTTCTCTTTATCTAGTTAGTCACTGGAAAGAAAAGGTTTACCGAAACTATGAGGCACATTGCCTTCAGTTCTGTTAAGCAACTTACCTTGTCTTTTAACTTGAGTATCATTTTGTGACTGGCTTAAAGAGGGAGGAAAAGGGTTCGAAGAAGACTAGCAGATAGGTAGAATAACAAAAACATAGTGTTATAATTTGTGTCTTAGAGAAATTCATAATTGCTGTTGAATCAGCAAAAGCAGCAAAGGGAAGCAGTGGAGTAAGTGATTTGAGGAGACGGATTAGGTAAATAGCCTTAACTTCACTATTGTAATACAAATATAACAGGTATGTTTAACTCTGTTCTTTGTTTTTAGCCTTCTGTGTGTGTGTTTTATGTGCTATTCAGCAATACTTTTAAAAAGAAATAGTTTAATTAAAGAAACTGGGAACTGGAGGGTGGTGAAAGTGAATTTGTTAGTGCTGTAAAGAAGACTTGTGAAAATTAGGACTTGTGTGTTGGCAAGTCTTGTGTTTTTCTGCTATCTGTGAGACATTAGTTTTAGATCGACAAACAGCAAATTTTTTGCTGGCTTGAGTAATCACAGTGAAATTTTGTGTTGCAAAATTCTGTTTGTGAAATAATTAATTCAGCTTTTTTCCTCTTATCCATCAAAGCATGTGACATATAATTATATCTAAATCACACCTTAAAGGAAAAATGTGTACTTAGTTTTAGCCTAGTATTTATTCAGTTTGAACTGATCTGCCTCTTTAATTTTTAATGCCTCCACTGGTCAAATTAAAGTAACAGAAATTTTCCAGATGTTTAATATTAATCCTGATGTTTAGCAGCAAGGACAAAACTAACCTGGTTAATTGAAATGTTTTTCTTGCTGAACTCTTCTGAGAATGTGTCACACTCTTTTTAGTTCAGTGATGAAAAGAAACTGATGAGCTCTCACCAAAATCTGCAAGATATTACAGAGGATCAGCTTAGCCTGGCGTCTATCCACTACATGCGGTCCCACTACCAAGAAGCTATTGATATCTACAAACGCATTCTGGTGGATAATCGGTGCGCATGTCTAAACCCTATTGTAGCATCTATGTTATTGTTGCTATTTAAAAAATTACAAATAGTTGCTTGGTTTCTGAGGTTTTTCTATGTCCCTTTCCCATCACAGAATGTGCATCAATTGCAGCTCCTCAATTTTGTTCATTCAAAGTATTATTGAAAACCCCATGTTTTTAAAAAAAAAAAAAAATGCCCTCTGTTGTTTTCTTTTAGTGAAATTGTGTAATTCATTCTGATATAATTTTTACTTTTACTTTGTTACATATTTGTTCTGAAGTGATACATGGTTATTTACCTGCTTTTTTCTTTTTTATTCRTTCCCCTCTAATGGCCAGTCTTGTGACCTTTGCTTGAATTACTGAATCTCCTTCACATCTTAGCCTTTCTAAGAAGAGTTCAGTTCTTGGGTTTTTTAGAGTTCCCTGCATTTCTTACAGTCCGAAATTCTTTCTTTTTTTCAGTTCATCCTCTGTGACACTAGTTGATGGATTTTTCTGTCATGTTCTGCAAATTTTTAGTTCAGAATTTAACAAGGAACAAATTGAATTCTTAAGTGGCTGGAAATATTTTTAATAAAATAGAAACTGCTGTCCCAGAATACCGCTATCTTTTGGCAGTGTCTCCTCTTGAATGTTTCAGAGAAATCCATCATAATGCATGTATCATGTAATGCTTGGGGAAGAGATTTTAACCTCCAAGTCCTGCAGAAACAATCAGTCAAATCTAAATGAGTAACCTTCATAACTATTATCCTTTTACTTACAGTTTTCACAAATGCTTATCTCTTTTCTGTGTCTAGTTATTCTGGYTTGATTGCTTGCAATGGCAAGGATTTTTTAAAATAATTGTACTCTGTACAAACTTTTATGTTCATATTAGGKGTCTTTGAATTTGTTGCTTAGAAAATCATGATCTGCCAGACCCAATTACAGTGCTCATGTTCTACATGTTTCCTTGGTGTGAAGTTGCCACCATTTCCCAGATTTGCAAACCGAAAGTTTCGTTGGTAATTCTTAGAAGCTGCAGTAGCTGCCATGGAAAAAAAAAATACTGTGAATTTGTCTTAGCTAACAATCCACAGAAGCTCTAAGCACTTCTTAGAAATCCCAGTTTTCATGTGCTTGTAAGATATGTACAGAYACAAGAGTTTTCTTTTTATTTACTGATTTAGATGCACTGTAGTGGGAAATGTTCAACTATCTGATGGGCTTTAAACGTTCTCTTTAATCCTTTTCCTGCAGAGAATACCTGGCTCTGAATGTATATGTGGCCCTGTGCTATTACAAACTGGATTACTATGATGTATCACAGGAAGTGCTAGCTGTTTATCTTCAGCAAGTTCCTGACAGCACCATTGCTCTTAACCTCAAGGCTTGTAACCATTTCCGACTTTACAATGGGAAGGCTGCAGAGGTATTTATTGGACACTCATTCAACTCGCRTTTAGTTTAAGATTCCATACATGTTTCTTTTCCTTTGTATCTGTCTTAATCAGTAATGTTGATAATGGCCTTTACCTTTGTCTYGGCTTGAGATAATGTTTTCAGAGAAAAACATCACAGGGTAAATGTTTTCTCTGAAGTGAAAAAAWTTGATAATTTTTTCCCACTAATATGAAATAGATGCCGGGCAAAAAGTGAAGAGAAAAAAAGTAGTTTATTAATGAAACATAGTGTTTACAGRATACAGATAAAAAGTAACTGTTAGATATTTTAAAGTCCARGAATGCCTGCTGCCCCCTCCCGCTCACCACGTGGTGGTGTGGAGAAAAAGATGGCGGCTCCTGTYYCCGGGAAAAGAAACAAAAAGAGAAATCCAGTGGCKTYTCCCRTAACAGTGGCAAAAAGAACCTGGATTATAGTCTTTTCTTCACTGTGGATGGAACAGAGGGTTCTGTGTGTGTTTTTGTTGCCGGCTTGGCTTCTTCCGGAATCCYRGATGAGACGGAGCCACACGGCTTTCTCCTTGCTGGTAGAAGACAACCTTGTCACTGTGTCCTTTTAGGAATATCACCTCTTTCAGTTTCCCTGGTATTCACCCATGTGTCCACATATGTGCACAGTGGTCTTGCCATTTTCCCAGTATCCTTTTGATGTTGTATTTATATGTATTACCCAGTTGCTAAAATAATTACATAGAAGTGGGAACGCAAAATCTTCTAGTCATCCAACACCAGTGGAGATGTCTTCTTGTCAGCTTTGAAGCTCATTTGAAACTCCACTTAGGCTTCTGTGCTTTTATGGTTTTCTGTTAAAATTTTGGAATGTATATAATTCCAGGCAGAGCTCAAGAACTTGACAGACAGTGCCTCATCATCTTTTGAGTTTGGCAAGGAGCTCATTAAGCACAATCTAGTAAGTAATACATTTCTGGGATTTAATATATAAACTGCACTCATTTGTAGAGCTTTTCATGATGGTTCGTAAAATGGAATATTTTGGTAATTGCAGACTTAGTTGAGTCTCTCCTACCATGTAAGTCTCATTGCAGGAATCCTACCAGTATAAAGAACGTGCCATCAAGTGGATTCTTTTTTCCTGGAATTTTTCCCTGACAGTTTGAGAATGTGTCAGGAGAATAATAATGTTGTTGCTTTTAGACCTGAAGGCATATTAAAATAATATATGTTGTGTAAGAATACCTTTGCAAGATATTTTGTGAAGCCCACTCAATAAAGATACTGTAGAAACAAGTCAGGATGACCCTGGACTCTGTGTAGCACCAGAACAATATGAGTGACATAAAGATAGCTCATGAAAGCAGCCTTTGTCCAAAAGCTGCTAAGCAAGGAGTTCTAGGAAAAAAAGATGCTCATAAAACCAAAATATTTATGTGTWCTGCAGTAAAAGAGTCACAAAGAGTAACTAATGGGTAATTTTCCTTTCAGTGGTGTTATTATTTTGGTGAACAACTGGTAACCACAGATTTAACTGCTCAGTTGCTTGCTTTGTCATTTTTCAAGAGCAGTCATAACAAGCTAACACTTCTTTCCCCAAGAGTTAAAACTGCKTTCAAACTGGATGTTTGTAAGTTAGCATTGTTTATTTTGGACGTYGGTATTTTTGCCAGTGCTTTATTGAATAAGTACATTAGATCTTGTTGGAGGAACTGTCATGTGAAACGGGAGTACAATCAACTGCTTCTGATCATTTTAGGATCCTGTGTCATTCTAAATAAATACAGAGTTGTTATCTTTTTCATATGAAAGCGTCATAAGCAGTTTGTAATTTTGTATGTGTTCCCTTTACTCAGACTATATTTTTTTTTAAATCTTTGATATATAATCTGTTACTATTTTGAGCTGCTAAAAGTGTAAATAAATTATTCTTTATGTATGGATTAAACACCTATATTCTTCAGAATAAAGATTGTCACAYGTTGTAATTCTATGGCTTTATTAACGCAGGAATTATGCCAATGCCAGAGCCGTTGACCTTTTCCTACTGTTTATRTAGGATTTTAAGGATTGATTTCCTTGAATTAACATATCATASAAAGGATTCTTATACATGGTTATCAATATGCTGTTTTTCTCTGCAGGTGGTTTTCCGAGGAGGAGAAGGGGCTTTGCAAGTCCTACCTCCTCTGGTTGATGTTATTCCTGAGGCAAGACTGAATCTTGTGATTTACTATCTCCAGCAAGGTAAATACACCTTCCTCTGGCTCTTTCATAGCTTCAGGGATGACATTCATTTATCTTATCTCAACTTATTTGATGCTTTTTTCCTTTGCASTAAAATGTAATTTATTTCACTTTCTATTCCTCTGGAAAGTAGTGAAGTAAAAGTTGACATGGCTTGCAAAGAAGGGCTTTAATACTGTGCAGTCAAAAGAAGTCTACTTAAGCAGAGTATTGGAGGTTCTTTCCTTGCAGGAGATGGCTTTGGGGATGGTGGTGTTCGTTTCTAGTGAATATGTGAGGATGTAAGGCATATGTCCTGTGAAGGCAAGGGCAAMCATTTCTGTAAATACAGCACAAACAAAATATAAGTCAAAGTGGCTGTGAATAAGATATTCCATTAAAATCTACTTTACAATTCTTAAAGAAGGCAGGTAGGTAGCCAGAATCAGTTGGTAAGGACTTTCCACTTGTACGTCTCCATTCTTTGCCAGTTTCTTTGAATTATATCTGAGTTTTTCAGAGCTATTCATGTTTTCCCATTGTGTTCTTTTATTCAGTAGTGGGTTGACTGGCTGTGTGATTCAAGGTCCAGTTAGATCAGGTCACTTAAAGCCTTTTCCAGACAAGCATACAGTCAGAAATTCCYCTATTCTGCCTTTTGTCCACTGCCACTCATCTCACTCTGTGGAACCTTCTCCACCTACTCCGTACCCTCCTATCAGTTAATTGTAGACAGTGATAAGATCTCGCTTGAGATCCTTTCTTCTCTGAAAACTAAGCAGGTGTAGTTCTCTCAGTTTCTCCTCAATCCCCTTCCTGCCTTGATAGCCCTCAGGTGGGCTCACTCGAGTGTTTCAATGTCTGTCTTGATTGAAGGATCCCAAAACTGGACACAGTACTCCAGGTGCAGTCTCACAAGTGCAAATAAAGAAGTCCTTTCCATGCCGTGATGGCTCCATTCATGCTACTATGATCCAGTGTGCAGTTGGCCTCCTTTGCTACTAGGCTGCACTGTCTGCCAGATTGCCCTTTAGCCAGTCTACTTCCCACTTGACTTGCTCAGGCATGCTTCAAACCAGGCAAGATGCAGGACTTGCGTTTTGCCTTCACTGAACATCAGATTTCGTTCAGCCCATTTTTTTTCAGCCTCCTGAGCAGCTTCTCARTATCTGAGAGCTTCCTTCACAATCTTTTATTGCAAACTTGCTCAGAATACTCTATCCTATCATCTGGATCATTAATAAAAATAAGTTATTAAACAGCATCAGTCTCTGGGGCATTTGATTAGTGATGAGCCTCCTGTTGGATTTTGTACACCTGATCACTGTCCTTTAGTAGTCCAGCCAGTTTTCCATCCCCTTATAGTCCTAGCCAGGGCTATCTTCCAAGTTTGTATGAGAGACCATATCAAAGACATTGCTGAACGTCAGGGTACACAGCAAAAACTACTATCTCCTTATCCACACAACCAGTTACACCTTGAATTAGTGAGTACATTTTGACATTGGTAAATGCATGTCTGCTCTCCCCAGCCACCTTTCTGTCCAGTATTATTATTGCCAATGTCACTATAGGCAATAGTGGTACTATTACCAATTATCTTGCACAACAATATTGTTGATAACAACATATGTTTCAAATTAAGTTCTGCTTACATGGAAACAAAGTGCATCTCATGCATCAGTCAAAATTCAGTCTTGTTTACTCGTATGCTGTTAACCTTGCAGTAATTTTCATTAGTTAGGTTCTGCTCTTCACTGACAAAGAGGGTCAAGGGGAATTCAGACTAAAACCTCTTTTCTGGCTGAGCTAAGTTTCCATTTTTAAGTCTTCCTAGGGTAACAGCATTGGTTAAGTAAGTGAGAAACTCCTACTTCTAATTACAGCTCTCTCTCCAAAACTAAAAAGRTTTCTGATAAGGGTAGGCATGTTCCCCTATTGTCTTTGAGGGGTAAATAAATATGAGAAACAAAATACAGTCAGATGATGKATTTCTTATTTTGACCTTGTGCTGTTGAGAAGGCAGCCACTGGATTATGAGCAAAGGGGCCAAATCATCTCTACTGGGAAAATTACAGTAATAAAGAAGCTATTACTCACTCTGCATTTGTTATTTGTGTTCTAGAAAACTATCACCATTGTGATAGAAATTCACAGTGATTTACAGTTACCTTTCTCCTCCTGTCTAAATGGTTTATTTCTTAGTCTATGACTTTAGGGTAATGTTGTAGGGGATGAGTGACTTGTTCTAATGCAGTCTGCTATGAGTTGTCATGTATTCTAATCTCTGGCATTTCAGATGATGTGCAGGAGGCTTATAACCTGATTAAGGACCTGGAACCTACAGCTCCACAGGTAATTGGAAACTGATGTCATGGCACATAAAGACAGCGGTTATAAACTGATACGAAATCTGCCACATACAAAACTGGTATCTTGAGGAGGACAGCTTGACCCATTCCCACTCTTAAAACTCTTGTGTTTCCATCCCTTCATCAATAATAAATTTAATGTGCATGCATGAAGTATTATATATGTGCATATATGAGTACTTAGCCTGTTTATTACCATGCCACAGGGTTCAACTAAGAATACAACTCTGTTGTGTGCAGCCTTGATTTTGGGGAATGGACCATTAGTGCATAGGTAAAAGCCCTCTTCCAACTACAGCTACTTGTCTGCCCAATGGTGGCTTTATTCTGTCAGATTTGCTAGCTCAGATGCTCATATGGTTTGTCCTGAAGCCATTTCAGTAAAAATGAGCTTGATTAGATTAAACAGTTTAAATAAATGGCATTTTCTAATCCCATTATACTTTGGCTGCCATGAGTGAAAAGTGCAGTGTCCCTTGGCTGCTACTGTAATTTTCTTCTGTGGCTGTTCCAGCATCTTTAGTCTCTGATTTATTCCTCTTTGCTATTTATTTTCCAAAGGTCACATAGCTGGGCATAAAAGGGATCTTTCATGAGGTCTGTGTGAGGAATTAGATGGAGGGAGAGAGGGAGGGAAAAGGAAAATCTCAAAACCACAGAACCGGTGATTCTGTGCTGAGGAGTGAGGAGTGTCTTCTGATGTTGTTTTACGCTTGGTTTTTTTGATATACCAGAACTTATTTGAACAGTTTTCTGCAGCTCTTGGTCCTGTTTTAGTCTTTGTTGTCCCAATATACTTGGCTAATAATTCTTGATCACATTTKGAATTGAGAATCTTTGTGTTTTCAGTTTCTCACTCACAATTGTAAGGAACTTCCTGCTAAGACTTGCAAAACTACTTGTAAATCCTCCTTGAGTACTTCTCAAATTTCTTCTTTGTCACAATGCCTGTAGGATAATAATCTGGCATCTGTAAGACAGTTGGTGTGCAAAACAATTACTTACTATCCTGCCTAGTACTCTCAGATTTTTTCTTTACATTCTGTTGTTGGTCTCTTGAAAGATGTCTCTCCAGTGTTTAGATCTGTGACAGGGTTGTCCTGGTTTTTCAYGTTGTCTCGGTTTGAGACAATGTTTTCAGAGAAAAGTGTTACAGAGTAAATGTTTCCTCTGAAGTGAAAAGTTTGGTAATTTTTCCCACCAATATGAAATAGATGTTCAGGCAAAGGTGAAGAGAAAAAATGAAGTAATTTTTAACAAAAYACAGTGCCCACAGGACACACATAAAAAGTAACTCWTAGATATTTAAAACTCAGGAACACACACCGCCCCCTCACGCCAAACAGCTCCGGCCAGGTGGAGCGGAGAAAATGGCGTGGCTCCCATCGCCCGAGAAAAAAGGAACAAAAGAAAAAAGTCCATGTGGCGCTTGGGCAGCAGTGGCAAAACCTGGATTATAGTCTTTTCCTCACTGTGGATGAAACAGAGGATTCGGTGTGTTTTTCTGTCGCAGGCTTGGCTTCTTCCAGAGTCCGGGACCAGACGGAGCTGCGCGGCTTGTCCCCACTGGCCGCCGAATTGCCCCAGAAGAAGAATTACAGGAGCCACAGTGGGGGGTGGGTGGCAGTCCAGGGATAAAAAGCTGTTTGCCCCAGCTAACAAAYCTGACCTAGCTAAACAGCAACAGTGTAACTCCCCTGCACCGAGGAAGCAGGACTTCCCGCTGCGCCGAGCTGAGCTCAAAAGCCCACGAGCTAAGCTACAATAGCAAACGGCAGCRTGGCAGCCCCGGCTTTTAAACTGCCTGCTCCGCCCCTGCCCCTTCAGGCACAAGCACCTTTTGGGCATACAAGCCGATGAATATAGGAATACAGGATTGGCACAAAATCAACCCAAGACATAGGTGTACCTACTAAACAAGTTTATGGATATAACTCAAAAGAGTCTCTTACTTGCTGAGAAAAACTTGTTCAGAGAAGAATTAAACTATAGTCATTTTTCATACTAGAGGCTACAGGGTACTCAACTTCTCTTCCTAATTTCGGTAGAATAACATGGCCACAGAGCAGAAACCTCTTGACATTTTTGCCATGCTATGATGAGAAATGCTATGGATTTTGCAGCATAGATAATAGTGGTTATGGTTAACCAATGTGCATATTTGAAAGGGGATCTGTGCCTTAGCATAGCGATAGTGCACTTATTGGTGTTATGATGGTGAAAAGGGTATGAAAGGATGTTGTTATATTCATTCTGGTGCATTGTCTTTGACTGTTAGACTTACCAGAAAACATAGTACCCCTTTGCATCGAACATATTTAGTAGAAGTGACTACCTAGCAAGTAGAATGTATTTTGGGGGCTAAATTAGTACTGTGCTTARGCACTACTACAGTAACCAGCTACCTTCTAAACTCAGTTGGGATAGAGTTGAATTTATGAAGAAAACAATGTACACGTAGGCTTTTATGTGTCTTCCGAAATCTTCATCATGTCTTCTCTGATCCTTTTTAATATATATTTCCCAGGAGTACATCCTCAAAGGGGTGGTAAATGCAGCACTTGGACAAGAAATAGGCTCGGTGAGTAAAGCCCCTGAGGCTCTCCATCTTCAACAATACAATGTGAACAAATCTATAAGAACTGGAATGGAGTGAAATAGGCAGTCACTTCTTATTTACATTGCAGGATCTCCGAGTCTCTTAACCTCCTTCTGTACAATAATCAGTCCACAATGAGTGAAATGCAAATTTCTGTTGCTGGTCTTCATCAAGATGAATTTGACTTCACTATCCTGTTTCCAAAAACCCCATTTACTTTGTGCAATATTCTTCTTTAACTAGGTACATAGAGTAGCACATTTACCTTTTCTGGTTTTGCTTCAACCCTGGTTTGTCTGTTAGTTGCTCCCCAGGTGTTGCCCAGAGCATATTTTATTGTGTATTGTAGCATCAACCTGGAAACTTATCTTGGATTTCTTTTTTATTCTTCTTCCAGAGAGATCATCTGAAAATTGCTCAACAGTTCTTCCAGTTGGTGGGGGAATCAGCCAGCGAATGTGGTATGTTTGAAATGTTCTTTTCCCATTAAGTAACACATCTTAAAATATCCGCATATATACCATTATATCTATATATAACTGTTGACTTTTAGCAGGAATATTGCTAGGAATTTTGTTGCTATAGGATGAGTTTCAGAAAATAAAAATTGTAGTCTAAAACAAATTTGCAAGTTTAAGTTAGAAGTCTCGATTCCAAACCTTGCTATATACCTTCAGCTKGAAAAGAGGCAAACTGCAAGTCTTCGTTGAGAGACTCTGTGGCAGCTTGCCTTTGCCTAATAATCCCACTTCAGAAACAGAAGACAACAGCCTAATTAATTAGATGAAGCAAGTGGCTGAAAGCTCACAGGCCTAGAGATACACAGGTACAAATCTAGGACCACTAATGAAAGCCTGTCAAGTACATAGAGTCCTAGCATGGAGTGTGCCCTGAAACTGAGGGTCGTAAAAGTGTAAAGAGGAATTTGGCTACAGGGAGAAATGGAAGCTCTGGGACTAACTTTTTTGCTTGAATAAGAAATGCCCCCCCCCCCCCCAAATCAGTATATTTTCACTGTTTAGTTTTACTTATTCAATAACAGACCAAACCAAGATCTTCTCTTCCCTTCTCTTTGCCAAAACCAAAAATATCAAATAAAAAAAGTTAGAAGTCATAACACAGAATTTCAGACTAAGAGGGGCTTACCAGTTTCCTTTGTAGGCATTGTCAGTACTGTTTCTTTAGGTGAGTGACTGTGCATGTTTAGGGTGCAGACAGCTCATGGTCCTCAAAGACAGAATGCTGTCTCCTGTGTCTGTGGTGACTAAAGAGAAGGAGCTCCAGAGCGGCATCACTAATGAAAGTTCCAGAAATACCGCTGAGCAATTCTTTTCTGTTCCCTTGCAACTCTGGTACTATTGAGGTCATGCAACAGAGAATTTCACACTGGAAGGCTGGAAGTGGTTCCATAGATGAGATTTCCCCAACACATTCCTTTTGCATTGAAGTTCTCCCTTCATAGTTGGGATCCCAGAAAACAGGAAGAAACAATAAGGACTATAGCAGTGGAAGACTCAGTGAGAATATAGCTAACTGGGTTTGCCATGCTTGTAAAATCACAAGGGAACTGATACAATGGTGGTAGACTCTTAATGCCTGTAACAGTCATGCAGATGTGACAAGTGACCAGAGCACACATGGGTAAAAACAATACAGAGATAGTCAGGGAAAAGATATCCTGAAAGGATTTCTTATGAGGCTGTAGCCCTGAACCAAAATTGAAATTGTTAGGAAGACAAAAGTCTGAATTTTATTGTGAAATATTTTTAAATTCATATGCAAAATAAAGATAGAGGCTGACACTTCAATCTTTCTCTGGTGATRTCTTGGTTTGAAAGACAGGTGTTTGCCAATGAAGGCAGGGATCCCCCTTGGAGGGGTGGATATGACCCCCCTTCCCTCCGAATTATTATAGCTTTGAAAATCATGGGCTTTCAGGCAAGAATATGGGTAAAAGGGAATTACAGTTTTTACTAATATGTATAACAAGGTGAAACAAGTAACAGTAACAATAGCAACAACCAACCCAATCCCAAACCCAGTGACAGCCTTACAGAGACACAGCCTACCCTTTGGTGTAGTTATGATCCCAGTCGGCAGGGGGCGCTGTTGGCTCCCGGCCGGGCAGGGCGGGTGCAATGATTCCCCGGTGGCTGCAGGGGGCGCTGTGGCGCGGGTCCCCGGCTGGCTCAGATCTCCCACGTGGCCAATGGCGGACACAAAATGGCAGAGGTGGACGGAGAAAAGTTCCTCTGCAAACTCCCAGCGGAAACGCCGATCTCGGTGCTCCTCTGGACAGCAAGAAATCCCAGAACAGCAAAAACACGCGCAGAATCCCGCAGCTGCAAGACGGGATGGAGCAGAGCTCACCCCTGAAGCTGGAATCTYGGCGGTCCCCGGCAAGGCACAGGGGCAGAAGATCACAGTGCAGCAAGAAGGAACCAACAAGCAGAGATGCTGGGCTCTGCAGAAAAAGGCAGGCRAGCTCTCCCCCGAGCAACTAGCAGGTCAACCTCCTTCTCTGAGCCAAGCCRCACAGGAAGTGAAGTTACCCCCACCACACACACACWCTCTCTCCCAGTGCTCAGCAAGATCGTTTAGGTGGGRCATAGGTCTTATTGTCWTTAYTAATCGYCCACCCAKCWHAAGGATKACCTGGCAATCAGTGTATCCCAGCAACAAAATGGGAAAGAAAAATTCCCCAAGAAAGGAACCAAAAGGAGAAATCTTAACCCACAACAGGTGAGAGGAGGAAAAAATGGCAACAAGAAATGAAGTACAATTAGGAAGTGGATTACTTGAAAAAAAAACGAGCCTATGGAAAGGATTGGTTCCAATCTGAGGTAAAAGGAAACATCAGTACTGTGAACATCTTACCCTCTTGGCACTTGCAAGTAAAAACTGCTTTGTCATCTTCTTAAAAGCTTGTGGGAGGAAACTGCCGTACAGACTAGCAAACAATTCAGGGTAACTCCTTTAAAGGCAAAATAGTGTGAGGGGTTTTGTTTAAACTCAAATGAAGAACAGATGAAGGTCAACAAACTGTAGATAGAAAATGGAAGAGGCAAAAAGTTCTGTTTAGGTAGGCTATAATAGAAAACCAGACACATGAAGCCTAAGTATGTACATGTTTTTACACAAATATTAGGTGTTTTTAAAGAAGATTAATAAAGTGGAGCACCTGGTTTTTGAACAGGCAGCTAAAAATGGAATGATTTTTTATGTGATAAGAGGAAAGTAACATGTAGAATATGGTTCCTATTTAATGTACAATGGGGATTGTACATAAATAAACATAAATATAGATAAATAGATGACACCAGTGGAGAAATGGTTCTAAATATTACAGAAATCTTCTCTCAAAATAAATATCTTTTCTTTATCAATGAGTAAAATAATATTATTTTCAATTATATTAGATAGGCAACTCACCGCTTTGAAGACAAATTATTCACCAGCCAGCTGGAATGGGAACAGTGAGTGGCATATTAAAGAGGTTACAGATTTTATATAGAAAGATTAATAATAGTTGGAGACTTCCATTCTGCCCCTATTGACGTAATAAATGCAAATTACATGGCATAATAAACAGCATGAACTTTTTGTTTCTCTTTCTTAGAGAAAGCACAAGTGAACAGGTAACTCTGGACCAATATTAAGTTTATGTAATACCTGATTTGTAATTTTATGAAACTCCAATTCTGCTACAGGTATTTAAGCATAATCAAATTCAAAATCTTTGTGTTAGCAAATACCTCAAAAAATGTCATTACTAATCCTAAGAAGAGAAGCTACATAATAACMTTTCTCATTTCTAACAGAAAATTTACAGTGAAATAGCAGTGAAAAGGATAAATGCACCTGATTTGAACACTTGAAAGAACGTTTTGTTTCTCTAAAGAAAGAGTTTGTATTCATAATTAATGAGCTATAGGAGACAAATAATGACATGGCTAKGTTTGCCAATGATACAAAATTACCCATATACTAAAAATAAAAGCTTCCATAATGATGAAAGATGTGAAAGACTATACAAGACTGTGTAATAATATGCAAATTAAATTTAGCAAAATTATCAGAAATGTTGAAGAGGATCTTAGGAATTGATGAGGAAAGAGAAAAGAAACTGAAAGAAATTACTGTGTCATTGASCACTCATGTTACTCTTTTCCTTGAATATGGTCTGCAGTTCTGGTTCTTATATTTATTTTACAAAATGGTAGAACAAGAGAAGATGCAGTAAATATGGCAAGAATGATCAGAGAAGGGGGATAGCTTCTTGAACTAGGAGAGAAGGAGACTTTAAATAAAGGAGGATACATGGTCTGAAAAATGATGACTGAGTTTGATTATGTTCATCATAAAGGACAAGRAAAAGAGGAATAGAGAAGAATTATTTACTGTACAATACAGAAATCAAGGAGCATTGACATAAATTTTCACACAAGACGATTAAAACAAACAGCATTTATTACTTTTTCACATAACACATTAATTTATAGAGAAACTTGGGAKAACCAGAATGTATAAAAAAAATTATAGATGAAAATCCATTGGCTGTTTAACAGAAATTTTTCAGTGATGATTAATAATCCTCAGTGCAGATTGTTGAAAGCTGGGAGAAACTTTAGCAGAAGCACCATTACATACCACAGTATGTATTATATGTGAAATCAGAATATCTTCTTTCTATAGCTGGATATTCTTACTCAGCAAGCTCTGAACTAGACAAACTTTGGATCAAATATAATAATTTTTATGTTTTTAGGTAACCTAGCATATTAACCACTRTGTTGTATACTTGTAGTCATTTTTGATCTGCTGCCTTTGTTTGGCTGGATTTCGAATGGAGAACAGAATTCTTGCTGTYGGTATACTTGGGCTTTTCTTAAGTAGTCAGCCATGCTGTTCAAGCCTGTGAATCATGCTTCAGCACTTCTTGCTCGGCCAGTCCTTGCAAGGACCTAGTATCACTAGATATTTTAAGGTCTTTATCGAGTTACTTAGCTGCTTTGCAGATTTATAATATAGAAGTTGTTGCTTGCTAGCGTGAGGAAGTCCTTTGCTGTGTCTTTGCTTGCAACTAGACCTATGTCCCAGTTTTGCCTGAGATAGAGTTAATTTTCTTCTTAGAGAGTGGCACAGTGCTGCATTTTGAATTTAGTATGAGAATTATGTTGATAGCACACTGATGTTTTAGTTGTTGCACAGTCAAGGACTTTTCAGTTTCCCATTCTCTGCCAGTGAGAAGCTTCAGAAAAAGTTGGGACGGAGCATGGCTAGGACAGCTGATCAGAGTGAGCTGGAGGGTTATTTCATACCATAGAACACCATGCCCAGTACAGAAACTGGGGAGAGTTGGCTGGGAGGGGCTCATTGTGGTTTGGGGAGGGGCTGGTTATGGCTCAGTTGGTGGTGAGCAATTGCATTCATTTGTTTCTCTTGAGTTTTATTCCTCTCTCTCTCCCCTTTTCATTTTATTATTACTAATAATATTTTATTTAAATTAATAAACTGTTCTTATCTCAACCCACAAGTTTTACCTTCTTTTTTGGGTAAGGAGGATGGAGTGAACAAGCAGCTGAGTGGTACTTAGCTGCCAGCTGGGTTTAAACCACAGTAGTCTACAAGGCTTCTTATTTTAATGTGGGTTATAAAAAATAATGGATTATAATGAAGATGTGGAATATTTTTTCTGACTTGCTTTTGTTAACTATAGAAATCCCATGTCTGCATTAAGAAAAGCAGTGAGAGGAGTTCAGGAAGAATAGTGTCGCTTATTTGTAAAGTCATTTGGAGTCATCCATTAAGCCCTTTGCTTTTTTTTAGTAAGATCTCTGCCTTGGACAATCAAGGAACATGGAGTAAATCAAGTTAATGTGCAAGTCATTTCCATTAAATATACACATTTTATCTCACGTTGGACGTTATGCATTTTAACAGGGGGCAGACAAAACAAAACTAAAAAAAAAGTCTAGGAAGCACTTAAGAGTGTAGGAGTCAATATTCATCCTCTAGCAGCAATAAGTAACACCCAAACAGCAGTTCAGTTACTGGGGTTCTTTTAAGCTTAATAAAAATCCTTAAAACTGAAAAGGAACAGACATTATGAAGGAACAGACATATTTCAGATTTTTATAGTTAATTACTTAAACTTGTTACTTGTTGTTTGTCTATGTAGAGATTGTTGTTGAATGAAGTCTTGTGATAGTGATTGGATGCTGTTGACAAAATGAATTAATAGTTTTCTTCTAAACTCTGGTATGGTACYTAGCCTGAGAAGGCAGGCTATGCTATTTTTAGAAACTAGCTGCTTTCGTAGGTGCCAGCAGTCTTGGCAGTGATTTTCATTACCATATGTTTTTAAATGCTAGAAATTTGCATTTCTCTTTTGAATTTTAGATACCATTCCAGGGAGACAGTGCATGTCCTCCTGCTTCTTTCTTCTTAGACAATTTTCGAATGTCCTAATTTACCTCAACTCAATCAAGGTTAGTATTATTATTTAGTATTGGTAGTACTGTAAGGCATGGGATCGCTACTATTAGACTATACTATGTGAGACACAATGGGAACATAAAAAGATACAGAAAACCAAACAGTGAAAATAGAACACAGGAGTGACAGCAGCATGTAAGTGGTCAGTAAAGCAAACAGACAGAAATGTAAAGAAGCCATGTAGAAAATAGCAACATGCAGTATAGTAGGCATGATGGTCTCATCATACTTGCAGTCTAACCATCATCAGGCTTTCTGGGGGYATCACAGAAGGTAAGGAACATTAATTGAAGGAAGACATTGAAAAAAGTGTATATTTATGGGGTGGGCAGCATGGAGGAAAAAAACCCAAATGTTTTCTTAAGGCTTATCAAGTGAGTGATGGAGATTATTGCCACTAGTTCATAAATGGGGACAATGTTTTAGTGAACAAGACTGTGTAAGTAAGATAGGACATGAAGGACTCTGAAAGTAATAGCATTTACATTTTACAGGGAAAGCAGTCACTGGAGGGTTAAAATAGGGCGGTATTACCAGAGCAGTAAGTTAGGAATGTTATTTTTGCAGAAGTTATCTGAGCATCCTGCAGACAATGTTGCATTTTTCAAAATAAGAGAAGCCTGAAGTCAACATCATGCAGCATTATCAGATCTACAGTATGCAGTGGATAGAATGGGTATAACTTACAGATACACAGTTAAAATCAGATGTAAAGAAAGAGGGAGGCTGGAATGTAATTATGGATTAAATTCTTTCAGTCTTGTTCCACTGGTTTGAAACTAGAGTTGTAAAAACTCTGTATTTGGTAGAAAGAGGAATAAGAATCTTAAAAGAAATTATTTGGGAGATACACAAGATGAGCACAATTACATTGTTCTAAGGAGGATGAGACCTAAAGAAAAACATGGGGTTGTAATGGTGCCAAAAGCAGCTGATGAGTGAAAAAGGGTGAAGGTGTTTCTAAACTTTGTCTGGAAGGAGACCTTTGAAGAAATCCCAGTGGCTCTAGCCACTGGAATGGCTGCAGTGTAGTGGAATGAAGAGATACACCACCACCCCAGACTGGAATATGTGTGTAATTGAAGAAAAGGAAATTAACAGTAAAAATTGTTGTGCCTAATTTGAGTCATCTAAAAGTTGGATTGCCAGATTGGTCATCTGGTCTCAGTTTATAGCCCATGGGTATAGATGGTGATTTCCAGAGAATTCATCCTGTGTCTTTCTTACATTTATAGTGCAGTGAATTAACCCACAGATATGCTCAGCTCTTTCCATTTCCTTGAAAAGTTTCTTAAACAACTAGTTCTAACCTTATAAGGTCAAAGTTAAATGTGATTACAAACCACCTCCAAGGTATATGGGTCAAACATTTACTGCCTACTATAACTTTCCTTTCTTGTTCCCTTTGAAGTAATAGATCGTTCTCRTACTTTTTCAAGTGCAACTAGCAGTGCTCAGATTTACTTAAGTAATTTCCCTTCTCTTTAAGTTGCAGGGATGCAAATAGTTCTTTCTGTACCATGTTACAGGCAAGGTGTACATGGCTTTACAGTTACCTTTGTGTTTCATTTACAGGAATAAACTTCAGTAGAATCTCTGCAGCTCTTAAAATGGAGCTACCCTCTGTGACAATTTATTTGCTTGATATTCTCTCAAGAAGCACCACCTTAATCCATGATCAATTAAAACTGTTTTAGCATAGGAATGACTCAGAGGACACCTTATTATAAATGTATTGCCAGCTGCCCCAAGGGTGACGTTATAACACTGAGAGGGATCAACTCAGAAAACAAGCAGTTCAACTCAGTCAGGGATCAACTGAGAAAACAAGCTGATTCAGGCTCAGCTGAGTTGTGGCCACAATGGGAATTCTTCATTTTTAAGTTGGGTATCTGAGGATTTGGTTAAAATGGACATGACTCAGAGGACAGTTTGTTTTATGAAAAGATTGAAGACCTCTAAAAAGACCACAGAAGAGTGAAGTCCAGTACATATGACGTGGGTTAAAAAACAAAACAAAACAAAACAAAACCAGAAAACTAATGGTATAGCTGCTGTGAATGTGTTACACTATCAATAGCACTTGTTCATTTCTACTGTTTTTGGTTTTGCAGTAGATCTGATCTCTAGCACTTATATGGCCGGGACAGAATGACACATTTTTTGAATTTGATTGCTGAAAGAGTTTCTTTTCCATTTTAATTAAAAAATGCAGTGGAGACTACTTAAACAGAAGAAAGCATTCACGCAGTAAAACTTGCATCTGGCTCATCAGCTTTGCTTGACCTGGGACTTGTGCTGATTCACATTAAATTACTGTTGAGAAAGGATGCACTAAGGTGTCTTAATCATCATATGGTGAAACCCATTAGTTTACCCTAAGGGTCCTGAAATGTTTTCACAAACCGAGCTTAAAGATGGTTCATCCTCATCTTTCACACATCTTGCTGTATTTGCTGGCTTGTGGACCCTCACATAGACTGTTTGGGTGAAATCTGGACATTTGGCAAATAGTGGCAATCCCTCACCTTTCCTTTCAAGGCACTAGCTTGATGGATGTGGGTAGTACCCTTTGTAGATTGTCTGTGACAGTGAAAGGAAGAGGTTCCTCGRTGTCCCTACATCGTGAAAGACACTCCCAGGAAAGGGATTTGTCCMTTGCTTCCTGTATCTTTTGTACAGTCCCAAATATGCTTTTTTTCCTCCTCCTTACTCTTTAAGGAGAGAACAAAAGTTTGATCTTCCTACACAAGTTCTTTTTCCTTTATAAATATTATGTAAGGAAAATAAATATTTATAAATATTATGTAAGGAAAAACTGCACCTTGCTGTTACGTGCTCATAAAAGGGAGGCCTTCTTGCTGTAACTATATTGGATAAACCACCCTCCTTTTTTTCCCCATGCTCTTTCATAAGCGATGCACCACTACTGGGCAGGGATCCTCAATCCCATTCATGCTTATAACTGGTTTTATGTTCTATCTTACTTCTACCAGCTCTACTGATCCAGCAGTATGGGATAGTGCTGAATGTAGAGCACAGCTGACTTTTGGTCATCTGAGTTATACTTCAGTCTGACCATGATCAAATCTATGCTCTTCAGGTCAAACCTGAACATCAGCCTAACCTGTACTTTTACWTTTCCTGCTTTGACACATGTAGCTTTTCAGAAAAGATATAGCTAGTTCAATCTAATATGTTCTAAACTAGATGTGTCATGTCTACTAATATGGGAGMAAAAAACTTAATGTTACACTTCCTCTAGAGAGAAGGGTCCCTGTAAGCAAGGAGATTATTGCTTAAGGAAATCCGTTTACCTGGTATGCTGCCTGCTACAGCCTGATACTGTGGCTTCACCTCCATCAGGGGATCCATTGTGTCAGATTAGCATCCATCACATAACCAGATGCATAGGATCTCTTGAATAACCTTGACAAGTCTTGGAGAAACAAACTGTTCGTCCCCTTAAAGGTTCAAGGAAGTCAAATGCCTATTTAGCCCCCCTAGTGGTGAAATAAATGCTTGGGACGTAAAAGAGAGCATGGCAGCACAGCATGTCTTCACATACCTCAAGTGAAAATTATACTCACAAAAGCTGCCACTGCACTTGTGAACATGGAACATTTTCCAGATCTCTCATAGTTAATATTGTGGAATGTTTCAGCACTTTGTAGTTTGTAGTCACAAGTGTAGGATGGAAAAGCCAGTCCATAATTTTTCTGTCCACTGTTTATAAACACCATATGTTCCTAACGTGGGATTTTCTTTTTCCTTTGCATTGTCTTTATATGTTCTGACTCAGATTGGGGCAGGGAGAGGGTATTTTTAATGTTACTATGTCATGGGAGGAGGTTTTTGGGGTTGCATTTATTTGGGGTTTATCCGTATTTTTCAGAGTTACTTCTACAACAATGACACTTTCAACTTCAATTATGCCCAAGCCAAAGCTGCAATGGGCAATTTTAGTGAAGCTGAAGAGGTATGTATTTATTTTCTTTTAAAAACAGCAGTGGAAACATTTCCTTCATTTCCCCTCTTTCCTTCCTTTTCTTCACCCAGATCTTCATGTTGGTTGAAAATAAGCAGGTTCTGTGGAACATCTTCTTCCCCTTCTCAGAGGAACTGAAATTCTCAGTGAACATTATTCAGAAAAGATTATTTTGCTAAYCTTGTAATGTGAGGTATATGGGGAGTCATGCTGCTTGTGGTGCATCAAAAGAGTGCTTGCAGCTACCTCTAATTGATCAAAGAATGGCCTCTTAATCAGATTTCCTATGATTTGCTTGGGATCCCAGGCAGTCTTTTTGTTCAGACTGAGTAGGGCATGCTGAGCAAAAGGCACTGAACAGTTAAGAGCTTCTAGGTGTCCCTAGAAATTTGTGTTWAAAAAAAATCTTCCTCTGGGATATGTGGGAGGAAAAGAGGAAGTGCTCACTATCTTATTCAGGAGCATTCAGATGCAGCTGGAAGAGATTAACTTCTACACCCAGTACTTTTTTGTCTGTATGCAGCAGAAACTTAATTACAACTAAAATATGCAAAAGCAAATAGCTGTTTTGGAGGTGGAACCAACATTTTCCACAAGACCTAAAAAGAAGACAAGCCACAAAAAAAATCCCACACCACACATTCTGGAGTGAATAATATAGATTTAGYTGGTTTGGGGTTTACATTCTGTTTTGTTTTTCCAGTCTTTTTAACTTTTTAGCTATCCAGATTCGTCAACAACAGAGCCCCCCTGGTTTTACAACTTGTCTTCCCTGCCATCCCAACCTTCCCATTCAGCACCCTCACCCCTTAATTTCTGTGACCCAAAATTGCWTCTCTCTTTAAGAAAAACATCTAAGACTATCAGGAAAATGGATACATATTTCAATTCACCAAGCTTTCAATTCACTTAGGCTAATGAAAACTTTTCAAAACTATGCTAGCAGGCTATGCTGATTCCTGAAACTCCATAAAAATGTTAACGCTATAAGTAAGTTTTAGCAGCAAACAGGCAACAAAGAAACACAAAGGTGTAAACTACATTTTTCCTCTTATATTTTTTAGAAATTGTTCTACAGAAACTTGTGTTACATAGCTGATGCATTTAAATACCAGAATTATGTAATTAAATTGATTCACCTGGCCTCATGTCTGATCCCAGGTTGTGATGACACTTCCATATAAAGATCAGCCTTCCCCAGTGTGTCATGAATTTGTAAAATATCTATATATAGCACTTATTAAGTTATTTAAAAGCAAACCTCCCTGGACATAATAAAATAAAACATATGATGAAGTGCTACCTATAGTAGCACTATAATGTTGCTTTCTTTTTATTTCTTCCCTATTACTCCTTCTCCTCCCGGCCTAAATTAGGGAATCAGCATTGTTTAAGCAATACAAATGTCAGTAATTTGTGTGTAACTCACTGTTCCAGTACATGCATCTATTCCTATAAAGGTATTTTTGAGAGTAAAGGTTTTGCCAGTAGCATCCAGTATAGTTACAAATATACTTGAGAGAGGCATAAATAGCTTTTTTTTTTTGATGAGCAAAGCCAGAGTACATTTGAAAATTTGTCACTTCCCTCCACACATCCCTTTAGATGTAAAATGTAAAAAAAACGTATTTATACAGTAAAATATAAACAATAAATGCTTTGTCTCAGAACTTTACTGAAACCAAAATTGTTAGAAATGGCTTATTSCAGACCTGGAATGATCTCTGACATATATGGGAGTAAAGTGTCATCTATATGTGAAACTTCTGGTATTTCAAGAAGGTGCTAATGTAATTGCTTGCATTGCTTTCTAAACAAACACATTCCAAATAGCTTTTACCACAGGCCCAGTGTTCCTTTGTGCTGTTTGTGTTGCATGGCCGCCCACTGGCGCTTATTCAAGGCAGGCCGCACCCTCTGCACAGCTTGGTGTTCTGAAGCTGCACAAGTCCCTTGACAAACAGGGCACCGTGTGAATCCTCCACCTACCCCACACTGAGGGATGCTCCCACACTGCACTTGCATACCCAAACTCTCGTTAAGAAGCAGTTGCTTATGTGACTTAAACCTTATCTGTGTRTTGAAATGAGGAAGGTTTGCCTTCTGTTTGTTTAAAAGTACATACATGTATAATCTTTTATTTTCCTTCTTCCTGCAGGTGTTCCTTTTGATCCAGAGCGAGAAGATAAAAAGTGATTTTGTTTACCTTAGCTGGCTGGCTCGCTGCTGTGAGTCACTTTCCTCTCCACATTGCAGAATACAGATCCTCCTCTATTGCRTCAGTCTTGGCAATCCACTTTCCTAATTGAATTTAATTTTGTAGGTGGATTCAGGACTATGAAAGTGAAAAACTGATTGCACTAATAGTGAGGGTGGTTATTGCACCTTTCATATATCTGGCTTTTATAAGCAATTACTCCTTCAGTACAATGCTGTTATTTTACTGTCAATGTAGCTTTGTCCTGACCAGTGACTCTTTTTTTTCTCAATTGTCTACTCAATTGCTTCTGTGAAGACTTTTCTGTCTTAAAAGACTGAGTTACACCTCTAGAATGTTCAGAGTAAAACACAAAATAGAAGCATTTATACTGGGTCAGGCTCAAGGGTCTGTCTGCCTCCAAGGTTAGCCAATGTCAGATGTCTAGGAAAGAGAAGAATCAGGGAAGCATATATGGTATTTTTCTTCCTACTATGTTACTCTACATATTGTCCAAACTCCTGTGCCTGAGGGATCTATCGTTTATAATCTCCAGCATGTGTTTTTCATCCAAAAACTCGTCTATTCTTTCCTTGAATCCAGGAAACTTTTTCTGTGTGTAATACTCCATAGCAAATCTTATTTACTATTTCTGTACTAGTTTTTAAAACATTGCGGAGTGCACCTCAGTACAGAAACAGCTGCAGTGCCATATACAAAATAGTATAGAAGTGGGCTTTTTTCTAATGACTCAGGTCTGAGACTCCCTAGGCTAATTCATTTTCCTTACAGTGCCTCAATACAAAAATGTTATCTTATCAAACCATTTTCAGCAGTTATACCGGGAATGTAAAYATGTATGTTTGGGGATGTTATGCCATATTGCAAATGTAATAAACATTTCTTAACATGTTCTTTCCAGACAGGCACATTTAGGGATGCCTGTCTATGATTCTATTTTAGGATRTGCCAGTTTATTTCCTTTTTAATTAAGCTGCAGTACCTGGTTGTGTTTGAGTGTTTTATATATGAATGCTTTATTTTTTTTAATGGGAATGATGAGTATATTTATCTTTTTGTGTCAAGTATGTAAATTACTAACAGATCATATTAGAATACATTAATGTCAGAGTACAATTAGGGATTGAGTTGTAAACAGTTCAATGCTGAAATATTTCCAAGGAACAAAAAGTACCAGAGATGCATCTTTTTGTCTTTTTTTGCATGACGGAATGTGGGTTTTTTTAGTGTTATAGCACTATTTGTATCAAATTCTTCTTGAAGAGCAAGTAAAAAAAAAAACATTGGATTAGRACAGAACTGCATTGGTCTAGGTAGATTGGTGTTGGAAAATTGAGAACTGGCTGTTTGCCACTGTATATGGTATCTGGAGCTGATGAGAGATAACTCTGATTTGATATCTTGCTGCCTCCTAAACAAGAAGTGTCTATAAATTCTGTGATTTGGTGTTACTTGTTTATTGTTGAATATCACCCATGCTACCTGCAACATAAGTATAGATACAGTGGGGACAGATAAAACAAGCTAAACAGTCCCTGTTTTGAAAGAGCACAAATGTGGTCCATGTGTGAATAGCCAGGTACTCTCTGAGCAGCTGTTAAGACTTGAAAAAGAAAGGAAAACTTAATTTCCTTTTCTCACAGTGCTTGAATGAGCCTGGAATTGTGAATACCAACCTCACATTCAAGAGAATGGCTTCTTATCATCAGGAAATAGTACCCTTGTGTTTAAATACCCTAGTAGAATTTCTACTCACTGACATGGAAGATTCAGATTAATTTCTTTCTAATTAAGCAGTTTAGAGTTAAAGATCAATGAAAAATTCTAGTTGTATAAGCAAATTTAAAACCAGCACAGGATCTCAGGAATTTAGAAACACTTTTTCTAGTAAATGCATAATGAGAAGGCTTCAGCCTCTGCCCTCTCCATGTAATTTGTTATGTATCATGGGAATTAAATTTTAGACTAAGGTGACACCAAGTATTAAAGATCTGTTTGGTGCCCATTAAAATTKTGTTGGGTGTAAGAGCACATAATCCTAAATCTTACCGTTTAAATGGATTGCCATAGTTCATTGTCCTGCATAAAAACATTCTCTGATACTTTCCATTCTGTTCCTTAATCACATCTGAAATCATGAGAGTTGTTCTTATTTTTGTATCTGTAAAATATAAATTAATGTAATTATTCCTTTTGACATCTGCATTCTCTGTTGAATTGGTTGTTATCATTAGTAAGRCAGAAGATAAGGACAAGTTTCCTTTCCCAGCCTCATGCTCATGGCTGAAGCATGCTTTTACATTAAACAAAGAAATGCAGGAATATCTGTTCATCTGCCAYTGAATATTGTGCATGGCATGTTCTTTTCACAATTTCAGCTCTTTTTTTGTTGTTGCAGACATTGTGAATAAGAAACCACAGCTGGCCTGGAAACTCTATCTGAAGATGGAGACCTCAGGGGACTCCTTTAACCTATTGCAGCTCATTGCAAATGATTGTTACAAAGTGAGTTTTATCTTTAGAGCTTGGTGTAGGACATGTTAATTCMGGGTTTGAACCAACAGTCATTTTTTGGATACTTTTATCATTGTCATCACTAGTGAACTTTCTTTTATAACAGCAGGGTGTCTGTTAATTTGAATGAGCTGACAAGGRTTAGTATTTTAACCTACATGTCTTTTTGATAGAGAAGCCATTGATTAAAATGTTGGTAAATTACTGAATATTGAACTATCAATAATGATTACAATCTCTTCTCCTACTAGGGATTCATTATGGGTAGAAATGACAAAAACCTTGTAAGGAAAAAAACCTAGCATAGATTCAGCGAGGAGCCTCATGCCTCCTTTTTTCCTTTTTTCTTTTTTTCTTTTTTTTTTGGTCAGGACTGTATTATGTTTTCCTTAAAGCTTGTAATGGCAATGGGAAATASTCCTTATGATCTCAAAAGCATTTTTATAAAATTGAAATAATTGTCTCTTGTACATCCTCAAGTACTCAGTTACCATCTCACCATAAAAGTCTTGTYGCCCCAGCAAGTGGCTATGCCTCTGGTGTTTCCCATAGATGCAATTTGTGAGAGCAAGTTGACAATCAAACCTCATGCAAAATCTCTCTCTAGACCATTTCAAGTCTTACTTAAATCGATTGATTGCTTTGTCTAAATTCTTCTCAAAACCTTCTTGTCCTGAAGAGGAGAAGCAGCTCCACTTTTTGGATTTATCTAGAGCTCTTAAAAGCTACATTTGTATAACTAATTTTTCCAGCCAATTATGTATCTACATATGGCCATAAATGATTGCTCCAAAATTGTTACTTTAGTATTATAATCTGTCTTTCTACAGTAGCAGGTTTTCAACCTCTTCCATGAAATGGCAAGATCCATGTTGTTTGAATTTATGTGGCATTTTTCAGTTGTTTTTGAAGCATTGMATTGTTTTGGAGGTCCACAGACAGCACCAGAGGTGTAACTTCAGAAGGCAGTTGCATTAGGCTTTGCTCAGCTGAAAACAGGATGTGTTTGGATGGAGCAAGGTCAACAGTGTCCTGAGACTCGGTGCAGCTGGATGCATCTATGCATCTATTCTGTCTATTCTGATCGAAGTTGTTCAGTGAGGAAGCTGGGATGCAGGACTTCTGGCTAATTTCTTGCTGCTTTTTATGCAATAGTCCATCTTGTCCATATGGGAAACAGCTCATGACTTGGTGTGAAGCATTTCCTACTTTTATGTCAAATAGAAGGAGAACATTAAACCTGTATGTGCTTAATAGAACTAGATCAGATACAAATTTGGATACAACAGTAGTCAAATTTTTCTTTTTAGCTGACACATCTGATACTGTTCGTACTCACTGTCTTTGTTCCCATCAAGTGTTTATCAGTGACCAATGTCAAAAATCAACATTTATGTGGAGGAAAGAGAATTATTACTCATTCTGTAATACCAGTATTTCTCTGACTAAAGTTTCCAAATGTAGCTGCCACAGCCTTCACTTTTTTCTCTGCAGGCTTCCAGCTACCAAAGGATAGGAGTTTGTGCTCAGTCTGCCTTCTGTGCTCTCTCATGGGAAGATGCTAGTCACAAACAACATTGCTGTTCAGGGCTTGCCCCAAGTGGAAAACACTCATATAGCCCACAAGAGATGCTGACTTCAAAAGCCTTAGTTAGTGTGGTCACTCTATTTGCATTGACTGTTGCCAAGCAACTTAATTCTGGTTTACAATTACAAGAGAGAACCTGAGGAAGAAAGGATACACACTGGATTTTCCTATGCTAAGGAAAATTTTGGATTATGGAGTCACTGATTCTTCTTTTGTACAGTACTGTAACAGTGAAGAAAAACATTTAAGTAAAGCCAGAAGATAAAAAAAAAGTGACCATGTCTACATGAGGAAATGTGGTTTCATTTTCAAATGTCTGGACTAGTTTGAGGCTGATATTCTGTCAAGAGCTTTGGTATAATTGGTAAGACACTAGATAAGGACAGGGCAAAAAAAAAAAAGGTTACCATACCACCTGTTATATCCTCATTTCCCCATCTGAAATGTCCTCTTCTGTGTCACTTGCTCTCTGCAGAAAAACAGGCAAGTGCACATCACTTCTACAACCTACTGCTGATTTCAGAAAACCGAGCTCAGTGGTTTTAATCCCCTTCTGAAAGGTGGACAGGAATAATCTTTCACTTTCTATGCAGATGCGTCAGTTTTACTATTCAGCCAAAGCATTTGATGTTCTGGAGAGACTGGACAATAATCCTGAATATTGGGAAGGCAAGAGAGGTGCTTGTGTTGGTGTATTTCAAATGATCTTAGCTGGCCGAGAAGCAAAGTGAGTATTCCATGTTGTATTAGAATTTATTTTGCTCTTTTCCTATTTTCAGCTACCTGTAAGCCAGAATCATAATCTCATCTTTAGGACTACATATCATCTTCCAATTCTTTATTGACCTTCAGAGAATAGACACTCTGGCCAGAAGTTCCATATGCAGTCTTCAACTTGAAGTGTATTTTCCATGCCAACAGTTGTAGAATATATGATGGAGAATACTTTATCAGCTAGTGTTATGAACTATAAAATACCAAAATACATTAATTATCATACTAGGAAAAGCTAGGTTATAAATGTAGTTGTATGTTCATGAACTGGGTAAAAAACAACCTCATTTCATATTGACAGCATAAGAATGGAAAATTGCCACATGACATTTTCAGGTGCGTAGAACAGAACTAAGGAAACATTTACTGAACGCTAGATGAAGGACACAATTTCTTTAAACAATGAGTAGATGAGACCGTGCTTTCATTAAAATTTGCCTTCTGAAGACACTGACCATGTCAGACAAGTATACTTACTTGCTGAAAGCTTAAAGGAAATCATCTGTGTTACTGATAATTTTGTTTTCGGCCCATTTCACTGGATGGGGAATGAGAGAGAGTAGCAAGAACTGCTCCCTTGTGAATATTCTGCTGTGATGCCAGATGGCCATTGTCCTCTGGCCAAAGCTGCTGTTTCCTACATGACTGGTAGGTGTGTATCTTGGCTTCTACACCTTCCTTCTATTCACTTCTCTGCTGGAATAATCTTGTTAACTACTCTACCTTTCACATGTCCTTTCAGCAATCACTGTAGCAGATGCAGTAAAATACACATAGCTTGCCTGTTTTTCAAAATATACCATCAAGTTCTTACTGTAAACTAAGAACCTGGCAAACTGCAGCAGGATTTATATAGATTTAATAAGTTTATCCTGCTAGGAATGTTGATTTCCATGTTATTTGTGTTTATGTCTATTGTGTTATGTGTAAGTGCTTTGGCAGCAGTAAGCTAGATGTTGCCATACTAAAGGCTAGCAAATTACATTAAAGTTGGGGKTTTTTTTAAGTTTGGTTCATTCTGGGGAACTATTTTGCAAGAGTGCGGGTATATATATAAATACACACGTGCACACATTAGTTACCTTTTGCTGTGGGTTTTGGTTTTTTTTTTTTTTTACTTTTAACTTCTGTACAATTGTATACAAGTTTTTGTTGGTTGCTTTTTTCGTCTCTAGGATCTCATCTGTGCATTTTAAGCTACTCTTGCACAGCAGATGAATGTACCTCTCTGTCTCAGAGGGCTCATGTTTTGGGAAATAGTTTGATGTGGGTAGTTTGTTGTATCACTTGCGTCTAACCCTCACTTAAAACTTTGCTTTTCACCTTTGTAGAGAGACTCTGCGGGAAGTACTGCACCTTCTGAAGAGCACTGGTAATTCTCAAGTAGAATACATTGTTCGCATCATGAAAAAGTGGGCCAAAGAGAACAGAGTCCCTGTTTAAGGTAGTGTCACAAAATGAACCAGGTCAGTTGCTACTCTATGGCTGGCTGCAAAACAAGGATCTTGGTTTCTCCTGTGCATTCTGGGTACCTCCTTGTTTACAGGACTTCAAACATTCAAGGAGGTTGACCTGGCTGAGAAAGAGGTTCCAGAGTGAAATTCAAAACATTGAGCAAGTTGGGTTTTCTTTTAATTAAAACTTTATTGGTACTTTTTCCRTTGCACTTATTTGACTGACTGTACTGGTCAATCTCACTTTGAAATTTAACACTCAAAACATTTATTCATTCTAATATAGTTCAAGTGAGAAATCTATTTAATTTAGCAATCTGATGGATAAAAAGATCTTTTGAATCATTTTCTTCAGCATTTACCAATGTCATGAGCAAATATTCATTATACTTTTGGATTTATTATATTCATCTGTTTTTTAAGAGGAACAGTTCAGGGAATACATAATTCTAAAAGAAGGCAACAGTTGTAACATAAAAATGTGTTATACATGTGGTAGTAAAAAACATTTGTATATCATTTGTAAAAKGAAACTTTATATTTTATAAATTTTTAAATACTAAAGTACTTTTTTATCTTTTGAGGGGAATTCAGAATACCATATTCTCTACTGTCTGTGCATTGATTAAAGCTCTTATTTGAATCTACAGTTGAATGTCTGATTGGTCTGTGTTACTTCATACTGCAAAAATTGAAATAGTATATTCATTTTGCTATGGAAAAGAGCAGGTTTTTGGCTGGTTGTTAAGTGCACATTCATTTCATCAGTCAAAGGCAAGCCAATGACCTTCGTCCTGATCTTATGGTAGTTAGCTGAAACTAAGGCATCTGGGTGTATATGGAACATGCACACCTTTCTGCAATATAACATGTCTGGTTTTACTGCTTCAAGCAAAAAATGTGGGTATAATCATTCAGGTGTCTAGAAGTACATTGATAATTGTGGTTACTTGCATTTACATCTAGAAACTGATCCATCACACTAGCAACAATAAGCCTTTCAGCAGGGGCAATGATATACTCATTCCAAAGAGGTGTGAAAGGAACAGTATTTTCACTGAAAACAGTTACAAAACACTTTTCACATGAAAACAGCATTTTTTTCTCCATCTCAGTTTAATTAACTTGGAAACAGTTTGGAATCTTTGGAAACAATTATGAATCTTGGTACAAAGCTTAAAAAAATCATGTTGGTGGCTTTGTAGCAGATGTTAAATGCATCTAATTACTCCCTTTATTGAAGCTTAACCTGCAGGAGAGCTGAAGAGCATCCAAATCCATTACAGATCATTTTACATGTTGGTTGAATCTTCTGGAATAAGTGTGATGGCTTTGCAACATAAGGGCTTGGAGGCCAATTTTAAATTCTTTTGTCTGTGACTAGTGAATAAGTTTTTATTTACACCTTTATTTACTGTATCCATAATATCACATTTGATATGCTAAATAATGTGGGGTTTAGCTCAGTGCATTTTATTGAGTGGTAATAGCTTTTATTATTTAAAATGTAACAGGGTACTACAGGGTAATTTGCCTTGAGTAGTGATGAGAGRAGGTATTTTACATACTGTCCTAGCATTTAGCTCTTGTTAATAGAACAGATCTGTAGGTACTATTAAAATGCAGAACAAGAAAAGTACTGAAATAGTGGTGTTTATTTTATCTTAGAAATACATCTAGAAAGTGTGTTCCATTGTTTAAACTGAGAACAAAGATGAGTAGTTGTCTTAGCTGATACAGAAATGAAAAGTAGTGAAGAATAGATAAACAAAATTTTATCCCTGTCAATTTCCGTATTTCCCTAAACTGTGAAAATTTAAGGAGTCAAGGTATTCTAGATAAGATGGCTAGGAGTGAAGGTAGATGTGGAGCAAAACACATGACCTGTTAGAACAAGCATACAGTGAAGAACGCATGTGCAGAGTTGGGGAATGGGTAAATCTATTGGGTCAGGAGTAAGTGAATGTAAAATTGAAACAGTGGTACTTCAGTTAATGTAGTGAAAAGAAGACTAAGGCAGAAAGGAATTGCTACACCATTATAATTTCAAGGAAGAGTATGGAAATTACACTTATTTCTTATACTCTGAATAAGCAGAGAAAAATAAGATACAGAGAATGCATAGAAGGTACTGTGTTAGCAATCATTTGACAGTGACTAGTAGAGAAAGCCAAACCCCAGACATCATGTAACTGCTTTTAGTTGGGTGCTAACCCATTCCTGATAAGAAAGTCAGCCTTGAATTAAATTTGTTAGTACCTGAATAACAGCTATAACAACAACATCTAAGTGAATTAAACTGGAGGTGCAAGTTCACTGTGAAAGAAAAGTCRTATCACATTCCAGCTCTAGACTGTAGCAGGCATTTAGGTTTATGTGGTTCCCTCAGCTTAAAGCTGGCTGMTTGGTCTTTATAAGAAAGCTGTTTAAGTGTGAATGTGGAACTTGACTATTAAGTAGTCAGACAAAAAGTGAACAATTCATACGTAGCTCTTGCTACATGTAGCTTTGCTATATGGGAGCTATGTATACATTGAACATCTAGATTTTGCCCATTGGTTTACTCTTCAACCATTTTTCTGTAGGGTTACAGAATATTGGTAGCGGTAACAGAACAACAGACCTTGAAAGTCAAGCCTATCTTCTGTCCTTGGTGTGGAAGAAGCTTGGAATTAGTACACATAACTRAYCACGAGTGAAGTAGGTAGGCTGTGAGAAGAGTTTGTAACCACCAGTCCATGAGAAACTAAAAGAACACTGCTTTGCTACTGTAAAAGGTATTGTTTATCTAGTACCATAAAAGGCAATATTCTGAGACAAAATAATTGACTGGAGTGTGTTGTAGTGTAGAATTACTTCCAGGTTGATTTACGACATATAAGGAATTTACTACTGTGCAATAAAGGTCTTCACATGCCAACATGGAGTCCATGCCTCAGTCATCACTTKTCTCCTCTGTATTATCTCCATAAGTAATTTCCACTCACTCTTTCTGAAGTTTCACTTCCAGATTTCCCTTTCAATCTATTCATATGGTCATTGAATAAGTAGATAATTGTATGAAAGTGTTACCAGTAAAGGTGTTTCCTAGACTCCGTGCATTAAAYTGCTTCTTGACTGTGACATGATATTTAGGGTTTTTTCAGAACTTCTATTTTCCTGGATRCAGTCTGTCCTTTGGAGGAGACAGCCTACCTTTTGTTCTACAAAAATACATTTTGTTCAAATTGGCTCAGTTTTCCAGCTTATGCAGATCACTCTGCATGACTATCTCCTCCTCACTAATTACTAGGCTGTTTCTCCGTAGCTATTTATTAGTGCTGTTTTACAGCTATATCTGGGTCATCAAGGGCTATGTTGGATCCTCCATATTTCCAGGACCCCCAAAACATTCTGTTAGAGATGACTGATGGCTGCTTAACTGATGAATTATACTAGTGTCAATTTATAGATTTAAAAATAAAATCTACATTTAGTAAGAGCTGTGACTTTTGAGAACACAGTGTATTCTTCAAATAAAAAGAGAACTTCAGTTTAAATTTATGCTTACACATTGAATTGTGCTTAGTTGCTCCACATTGTATTATTCTTGGTAATTCTTTAGGAGAATTTAAAATAATGCAGTAAAATAAATAATGCTCTTTAAAATGTTTTTACAATAGATCTTCAAGACCTCCGGTCTCCAGTTATTTGAACAAGAAATATACTATCTGATAGTTAGTAGTGATTCTCAGATACAGCTGAATCCRTGACTAAAAAGTGGGATACTATATATGCTGTTGTGTCTGAATTGCACTTCCATGAACCTAGGAATTGCATAGTTTGTTGTAATCCTTAAGCCACACTTCAAGCTGTTTGTTGGAGATGAGTGATGAACCTTAGACTCCACTATCTGCTCCTTGAGCATTGTAAGCAACTTCCATGTGGTCARTTCTGTGAAAAAACACATGCAACAGTGCAGAATTATATAAGATAATATTTTAAGAATACATGTAATAATGTTGACATTGTTTACATCATGTAGAAAAGAATCATGCTTTGATTCCAGGATTGTATTGCTACATTACTCATGGTAACAGCTACAATTTTCCTTGATGATTTTGTCCTTCTTAAGCATGATGGGATCCTTATGCCTGCCTACTCTAAAGCTACTTGTAGTCTTTTTCTTGCCTTACATTAATGGGTGAGGCCATTATATGGGGAGCCATTATGTGACAAAACTATCTTACTTTGCAGAGCTGGTGAATTAACCCATATCACATGATGTCATTGTGTCTCATGAAGCCATGTGTGAAAGCTGTCTCTAAGAAAATGCTACAAAAATTAAATAAACCAAATCATAAACTGCCTGGTATATTCCCATACTGGTCATTATCCTAATGTTTTTATTCTGCCAATTCCGTCTTACTTTTGTCTAACTTGTTCATGATGCTACATGTGCTGAACTTATTAGTCGTTACTGACAAACTGAGAAGCTGGTTATTTGTATAAAACTGTGGTGGTTTTCCCCACCACTAAAGGCAGAAGATCAATTTTCCGGTCACAACAAGTAATTTCTGAGGCAAGTTTTACAAGATCCCCTACTCAGTTTAGCCAGTTATTCTCAAACAAGTTTTATCACTGTGTCCACTTTTCATTCTGCACATTCTTCTTCTCTGCTGAGTGTTTTCTCTTCCTACCTATCCATTAATGTGATGGGCCTTGCAGGACTACCAGACTGCTGCTAAAGTACTGTTCTTTTCCACTTCCCCCTTCCTCCCCTTGCACCACCTCTGAGCGTGACTTGCCTCGCTCACACAAGCATTTGAGGCAAGATTTTTTCAGATTTGTGAAACGCTAAGTCCTGTGAAAGACCAGAAATCAGCAAGACACTGACAATAATTCAGTCTCTTAAAACGGTGAGGAAGTGTTCCAGTAAGAGTAGACTGTACAATTACTTACCAATGTCATGGTAAATCTTTTAAGGTCAAAAAAAATTATATTTGAAATAGAACTTCTACAGAAAATGTAACTTGTTTTCACAAGCACTTCAGCTATGTAGCATCCACTCTATTCTTAAACTTGACACTTCTATTGCTGCTATTCTACACTTGTTTTACTGTGCTCAAAAATGTTCCCATTTCATATGTCTTCTCAAAATACAACTTGAGGTGGAGAGAATTAGTTTTATAAAATTTCAATTATCTATTTAAATTATTCATGTATGGAAAATAATTTTTCATRTGTAATTTTTCAGATGCTATTTTTAATGCTGTGGCAAGCAAAAGCAGCTTTGTGTTGAATCTGCAAGTTCGGTATGTAGTTAATTCTCAGTGATAAATATGTGCTTTGCTTTTTTGAAGGCAATTTGGCTTGGAAATAAAATCATGGAAGTATGAAAATGCTAAACTGCACATGTAAAGTATGCTTCTGACTATTCYGATCATAAGCTTGTATGAATGTTAAAAATGTGGTAATTTGTTTATGCAATCACTCTCACCTGTCTGTGATAATGTGCACTTACTTGGTGTGGAGCTTATATAAGTAAAAAGTGCTGAGAGGCATTAAAAAACTTGGTTAGGAAATTGGAGTTTTGGTAAAATCCGTCTGAAAGTGAGAGAAGGAACAAATAATAAAAACAAGGTCACAGCCAAAYATTATGTTGTATGTCTAACTTCTAGAAGGTTGCTTTGCCATGTACATATGTGTTATTACATGAAAKTCTCCTTTTTTGAAGGATGAACGTTGCTTGACTGTTGCTGCCTGGCCAGTAACTATAATTTTAAATATATTACAGTAGTTTAAAAAATAACTTTAATTATTACAATATTTATATTTTATTAGAAACTAGAAAATACCACTCTGGCAAGTGACTAAGGCTTGTCTAGCCAACAGCCTGCCTAAGTCTGCCTAAGTCTTGTCCTAGATCAGCACCCACAAGAGAAACCCTGAGCAAGATGAAATCTTGGAACATTACTTTTTGTACTTCTGAGAATTTCTTCCTCATTAAACAGCATTACTGCTGCTTCTAGTGTAGAAATTGCAATTCAAACTGAGAACTCCCTACCCGGGTAGTCCTTACTCGTGTTACAGGTGGGTGGCAGAGCTACGGGAAACCATGACTCGTGTGGCTTYCGTTACTATCGGGAGAATAAAACCAGCAGACAACAATACAGAGATAAGACAATAACCTGACTCCGAAGTTTCAGACAGCCTGGTAATCTTCGGCTGCCTCCAGGGGTGCTGGCCTGATGGAACAGGCTTTTCATCGAAGATAAGCACCCCATGCGCAAGTATCTTTAAAGAAATGGTGCAAATGAGGAAAAAAGTGAGGGACAACTCCCCAGAGCACGTAATCCCTCTCAATCTCTGTAAACATCTAGGTGTTTTTACACTTTCAAATGAGCAGATGTGAATCATAAAAGAGCTACCATTAAGGAAGTCTATTATTTTCAAAGACAGTTCCTCCAGTTTAAGTGACAGTAACAAGCAACATGTTAACAGGCAGATGCTCCTCAGTTTAAGTTTCTTTGCCAATTCATTGAAGTCTGCTCCCTTTCTGTATGCTTGTATTTTTAAAGAAAAAAGCACCTCTGTGTGTGTGTGTGTGTGTGTGTGTGTGTGTGTG